TATATTTATTATTTATATATAAATAGTGAATGTTTATTTTTGGAATAAAAAATATTAACTATGGGTATGTTATTAAACATTAATTATGCATAAAGAATAGATTAGGTGTATATCTTTTAATGAATCTCAAAATTACTTAATTTCTTGTGGTGATGATAATCTAATTAATATTTATAAATTAGAAAAAATCAATAAATAATGGACAACAATTTAATAAATTAAAGTAGATTAATGTGGATATAGATTGTGCTTTATTGGAGAAAATTAATTCGTATTTTAACCAAGATGTTCAGCAAAACTTGAAGTATATTAATATTATAATGATGATTATAAGTATAAAAAGATTTTAGAGTAATAAGTTTAAACTAGTCAATATTGTAATCATTTATTTCCTTAAAAATGGGTAAAATCTAAATCTATTTTATTAAATAAAGCTGGAAATTATTTAAATGTGATTAAAGTTCACTAAAATGGACAATTTTTAATTGAACAAGTGATTGATTTTGGAACTGCATGTTTTTATGGAACTATTTCTGAAGATGGTAATGATATTATAACATGGGATTATGAATCAAATCAAATTTAAATAAGAAGAAATTCATTAATAATATGAATTGATTTTATTATTTAAGATATACTCATAAATTTAACTAATAAAGATTAAATGATCTAGTTTCTAAATTCCAAATAACTAAATAACTACAATCATTAGTTATTGCTCCATAATTAAATTGAGTTTCACACTTAATAGGATCACCATATAATTTTAACTAATTTTAATTATCTTTTTTCATAATATACACATTTTTCTAATGCTTTATTATTAAAATTTATTTATGTTTATTATATATAGATGGGAAAAGTTAAGAACCATCTTATTCATTTTCTAAATTGAATTTGACATTTAATTCTGGCTTTTCAATAAATTCTCCATTTTCAAAACAAAAAATATGTAAGATTCCTTAGTTTTTTTATTGCCAAGTAAATACTTAATTTGAAATGAAACTTATTCTAGTTCCACAATCTTTAACAGTTTTATTAATAATACATTTGAATGACCAATTATTTTAAAAGTTTTTTTACCAAAGAATAATTTAATTATCTAAAGCACTTGATATCATAAATGTTTATTCATCATTAATACAAATACATAAAACTGTTAATTTGTGCATTTCCAATTATTATTTAAATGTAATAGTGTTAAACTCTTGATTGACATTCCATAATTTAATTTTTTAGTCATGACTCGATATCAATAAATCTTCATTTTTTGTTAATATTAAACATTAAATTACACCTTGACCATAATTATTAAATTTATTTCCTTGCCATTCATTTATACTAATTTAATTCCAACATATAATCTGTTCATCCAATCCACTTGATGCAAACCAATTTTTTGTTTTGCTAAAAGTCAAACACTGTACATAATCAAAATGACCTTTTAGTATAATTCCTGAATCAATAAATTATTTATTTTAATAATTCCAAATTTTAATATTTTCTTCTGATCCAGCAACCATTATTGAATTGGAATTATTGAATGCAATAGCCCAACATGATTACTATTGTTTGATTTCTTATATTTTTATAGTAATAGGAACATTAGTCTAAATTTATTTAAAATTTTATTTTATAGAAAAATTATAGAATTTTCCTTATTCATCTGAAAAAGGATTCCAATTATGTATTTCAGATTTTAAAGTTTAGATGATTTCATTAGCCTTGTAATAATAAGTGTTATTGATTGAATCAATATTTTTAGCATCAACTTATTATTATTTTTCTAAAATTTAATTAGGAGATAAGGTAATGTTATCAATTTCTTTAAGTAAATCACAATCACAATACTATAAAAGTAATTCATTTAATCCTGTTTTCCAATCTTCTATTTTCTATTTTAGAGATGAAATTAATTCATAAATTCTAGTCTATAGATTATTTAAAATGTCAAGTTATTTATCTAGCATAATTTTGTATGGTCTAATAGATTCTACTATTTGCTCATATTATTAATTCTTTAAGTCATATATTTTATCTGTTGCTTCTACAAAAGACATAACATGTGAGATTCCTCTTTAATTAGTAATACATTCGCTGCACATTAATTTTTGAGATCCTTTATATTCATCATCAAGTCTGATTTATAAAATTTCACTTCCAGTATGATTATTAGAGCATTAAATACTAGAGTTGTTTATTAAAAGTCTAGATTGGAACATTATTATTTATTTAGATATAAGATAAAAAAAAAATTATGTGCTTAAATTAAACATATAAAAGATAAATTAATTTAATTTAATGAAATATTTCAAATAATCAAACTCAGTGTTATAAATGCAGAAAATATATTAGCATATTGATCTATAATATTAGGAGTACTTTCTTTAAGACATTTTTCACATTAATTTGTTAGAGAATTCCAAGTGTGAGTTTAAGCTGATTTAATAAAACACGCCTTAGAATCTGAAATATTGTTCGGCTCAAGAGTTGAACATTTACCATTTTCAAATATACAGATAGTATGTTTAGTACCATCAAAATTTGGTAATGGATTACAATTTAGACCAGATGAAAAAGTTTAACAAGTTTAATCAATACATTTATTTGAATGTTGATCCCAATAACAAGAAGGATTAGTTTTACAAGTAATTTAATCTTATTCTGCATCTGAACATTTTGAGAATAGTTTACAAGTACCAAATGATGAATTTTTTTCTTTAGGGATAAATGCACAAATAAGAGGATTTTAACCATCTAAGCCACCTCCTTAACAAGCAGTAAATGTTGTATAAGTTTCGCATTTTGCTTTAGGAATACAAAAAGTACCATTAGAGACACATTATTTATCTGGTAAAGAATTTTAACATGTTTGATTATCTTATGCAAAGAATATGTCTTAACATTCTTTAGGTCTACAAAATTTAATAGAAGTACTACCATCAAGAGGATAACTATAAATACATAAGCCATCAGTTCCTTTATAACATGAAAGTTAATCATATGAAGAACATTTTGATAATTAAATACATTTAGTTCCATTTGTTATACATTAAGGATTGTTATATTAACATTCAGTATGAGTGGAATATGTATAATCATTACATTATTTTGAATTACAAACTAAAGACTTTGAATTCCAAATACATGGTCCTTCTGTAGAAGGATTAGAACATGCGTAAGCTGTTATATATTAAGAACATTTCTAAGCTTATTGAATACATTAAGTTCCATCTGATATACAAGTATTATGATATATTCTACAAGTATCAGTATCATATGATTTAAGATCCGAACAAGCTTTAAATTTTTAGCATGTTTCATTCCATCCACAAATTTAGTCTAATCCATATATACAAGATTCTTTATTTAAATATTAAGAACAATATGTTATTGGAATACAATTAAAACTATTTGTTGTACATTATGATGATATTAATTAACATTCTTAAAAAGTTGTCATTTTAGCATCTTCACATTTAGTAAAATTAATACATTTATTTTAAACCCATAAACAAGGTCCTGTTTTAGAGAGAATACAATAATTTTAGTTTGAATATTCATTACAAGATTGACCATTAATACATTTAGTACCATCTGTAAGACATCCACTCATTTATTATTCACATTCAGCATCAGTTCTACCGTGAAAATCTAAACATTTCATATCTCTACAAACTTTATTATTTTAATCCCAGATACATTTTTATTTTCCTTTAGCATAAAAACAAATAGGTTCTGATGTATATTAAGAACATAAACCTTATAGAATACATCCCATTCCATTTGTTGTACAATTTTAATTTAATTAATTACATAAATCATGAGATGTTATATAATGAGGTAAATCTTCACAATTTTATGATCTGCATTGATTAGAATTCTCATTGTATGAACATTATTGATTCTTGACTTTTGAATTAAAACAAATAGAATAATTAGCATCTTAAATCTAATCACATTTTTCATATTATTGATTACAGAAATGTGTCCATGAACAATCTTTTCTATGTTAACAAGCTGTTTAAGTTATTAAATAATCACATTATTTAATTGATGTACATCCATATCCAGTTGTATAACATGATGGATGATATGTGTAACAATCTATATCAGTTTATAATGTATTAGGTGCTTCACTACAAATACGTTAGGTACAATTACTAATTATAAAATCATCTAAGCTAGTTGCTTTACATGGTCCATCAATTGCAATATATTTAGAACAGCTATTTTGATTACCTTTAAAATAAGAACATTTCATTCCATAACTAATACATTTAGTTCCATCATATACACAAGTAAGTTAATCATAACCATCATTACAAGATTGATTATCTATACCATTTATATGATAACATTCTTTTTTTATACATGTAGATTATAATCCTGAGGAATTATTATTATAACATAGATCTCTTCCAAAATTTCCTCGAAATTAAGAACAAATAACTTAATTTCCTTAATATTCTGAACACCAAGCTGATTCTGATATACATCCAACTCCTTTTGTTAAACATCCTTTTAAATAATCTTAACATTCTTAATTGGATACTGCAACTGTATTATCTGAACATATTCTTTCTTTGCATATGCTAGTTGATATATTTAATTTAGATCCAGAACAATATATATACTCTTTATTTATCAAATATTTGAATTATTCACATTCTGTTTATGTACCTCGATATGATGTGCAAGGTTCACTATTAGGAATACATCCAAATCCTCTTGTCACACATCCACGCATAAATTCATTACATTCTGTATCAGTAGTAGCACTAATATTATCATAACATGTTCTATTATCACACTATCCAATATTAGAACTAAGTTCATCAGATTTGCATTTATCTTTACCATTAGAATTCAAAAGTCTTGAACATAATGGTTTGATAACTCTTATTTAATTACAAGATAAATTCTAATCAATACATTTAATTCCATCTGTTTTACATTTAGATAGGTATTTTTGACAGTCAAAATCTGAGTAATATTGAACATCATTACAACTTCTATCTTAACATCCAATATTATTATTCCACTTACAATAAATTCCATTTATATTTTATACTCCTTCACACCACTATTTTTTCTGTTCATCATTATCACCTTAAGTTTAATACTAATAACATTCTTTTTTTTAAAAACATTTAAAATTATAATAAATGCATCCTAAAATATAATTAACACAATCTTATTCATATAAAATATCTTCACAATTCTAATCTCTACATTTTCTAGTTTGACTTTCATCCTATACACAACTGATATTTTATATTGATTTAACCGAATAACATTATATTCTTTCTTAGTCTAATTATGGTCCTCTTAGATTATCAATATTACCATCATATTCTGAACAAGATTTCTAAGTTATACAATTATCACCCCATATATAAGTGCAATTATTATAATTTACATCATGTAATTCATTGCATATTTTTAATTTATCAGTTTCTGCTGATACATTATACTACTCACAACTAGTTATTTGTACACAATAATTCCCTCCTCCATAGGTACATCTTTCTTTATCAAGCATTAATTATTCACAATATTGTTTAGAGTTCTATTTTATAGCTGGTATATTACTACAAACATTCTAAAAGTTATAACAAGTTCCTTATAAATATTTGCACTATTTTTAAAACACCAAAGTATCACAATCAAGTTATGATTCTGGATTAATTGCATCCTCACAATTGCTATCTCTACAATGATTCTCAAATAATCTGCAAGTATAACCATATATATTCGTTTTTGTTAAACAATAAAGTTTTTTATCTGTTACATTATCTGGTATAATGTAATCTGGACATAATGCATAAAGAAATGTACAATTATTTTAAACACCATTATTTTCATCATAAGTGCACCTACGACTATTATCAGAACTTTTAAACAATTAACAATATTCAATTTTTTAAATAATAGATAGATTGATTATTTGTTGAGGAAAGGGAATTTTAGAAGTATCTTGGCATTCTTGATCATTCAACAATTAAAAATTTGTTAAACATTTGCCTAAGAAATATAGACATCCTATAATATGATTGTCACAATCATTTTAATTTAAAGGAGATGGAATATCTTCACATGTCCCTGCTTTACATTAGATTCCACCATCATTAATACATTAGATAGTTCTTGTATTATCATTATGAGCAAGACAAAAATGATCCATATTTGTAGATTATTAATCCCATTATGAAGGAATTTATAAAACTTAAGTAATTTCATTACAATTAGTATATGGTTTAACTTCACAACCAATCTTGTCTTAATTTAGAGAACAATATGAATTATTATCTTTCATACTACTACAAAATAAAGATTTCATAGTATCAGATGTTATTCCTTTTGGAAATAATAGATTATAACATGAATATACTTAAGAATAACATTATTTCTCAAAATAGAGACAATCACTTAAATGTTTATCACAATCTTTTTAAGAATTAGCTGATTTAATATCTTCACATTTATTAATATTTGAACATTTTGATCCTTCAATATATGTACATGATTTGTAGGTAACATTTAATTAAATTGAATCATCTATTATTTTTAAACTTAGACAAAGTTCTAGTTTTTAATTATATGTATATAACTAAGGGAATTAATAATTAGTGCAATCATTCGATGTTGTATAACAATAAGAGTTTTTGCCCTTTTAACATTAGCCATTTTATTACAAAAAATCATTGCATGTTTTTGCATCTTTATGATTAACAATCTTTTCACAAGTATCTTAATAACTACAAGTAGAATTACCAATAGCATAAGAACATTGAATTCCTTAATTATTTTGAAATGATATACAGTAATTATAATTAGTAGAATAATTTGATTGATTGTTTGGAATAGAATAGGCACAATCATTCTTAATAGCATAACAAGTAGATCCATTCCATTTACATGTTTCAGATCCAGTTGTTTTAGAACTCTAAATAAAAGTAGAACAATCGAAATTTGATGTATATTAAAACTAATCACAGCTTCTTAGACTACAATATGATTTTTAAAATTGATTCCAACCACAATACCATCCCATATGATCTTTTATATTAACACAGTAATCAAACTTCTATTAATCTGTAGTAGCTGTATCTGGAATAGAATATTTATTGCATTCATTAGCATTAATACAAGGATGATTTACTTTGAAAAATCTGCATGTTGATTTGTAATTAATACAATCTTAAGAATTATTAGGATTAATTATATCTCCACATTATCTTTCTTAACATTAGAACTTTTTCAAACATTATATTTTAGTCCATTAATTATAAATTTAGATTCCACCAAAAAGAGTTTAACAACTATCTTCAGTTCCTTATTAATCTTTACAAAATTTAGTAGATTGATCAACACAAGTTTAATTTAATAGTAAACATCCTGAACGAAATTATTCACATTCATAATCTGAATATGCAATATTTTTATGCCAACACTCTCTTTTAACACATTAACTTTTAATTTATGTGCCAAAACAATATTTTATTTTATTTTAACCAACTATTGCTTATTCACAAAAATTTTCATCTCCATAATAACTGTCACAATTAGCCTATTAAGGATCTAAACAACCACCATTACCATTATAAACACAACCTTTTAAAAATTAATCACACTAATCTTAATTTTCCATATTTTATGCCATATCACAACTCTTATTCAAACAATAGTCTGATTCATGTGCGTAAATATGATTATAGCATTAAATTGTTTTAAAATTCTAAGGAGATCCACTAAAATACCCAAAATATTAACTACATATACTTTAGGTGCCTTACATTTAAGAACATTAAGTTTCATATTCTACACAGCCTTTTCCATTACTTACACATCCAGGTAAGAAATTATTACATTACTCATTTGTTGTTAAATCTAAATTATCATTACATTATCTAAGAATACAAGGAGTTGTCTCATCAGAATTTTAAAGATTTGTACAATAGCCTTGATAGGAAAGACAAGTTTATTAATTTCCAGTTAATTTAGAACAATCATACTTAGTGATACAAGAATTCTTTCTATCACTAATACAAGTAGTTATTTATTTTTAGCAATTAATATCTTCTTTATATATTTAGCCTATCAAATCATAGCACTGTAATTATCTACATTGATTATATGACCATACACATTTTATTTGATTTATGATTCCATTAACAATTAAATTAGCAGTATTTGAAATACAAATAGATTCCTTAGTATAATAAGAACAATCAGTATTATTATTACAATTAGATTACCAAAAGCAACCATCTGTAAGTTCGCAGCTAATTTAATGGATTGTATATTGGCATTCTGTTTTCATTACACAACCATTTTGTGTACTAACACAATCTTTCAACCAATTAGAACATTTTGAATAATATTCAATAGGTGCTGATTTACAATTTCTAGGTGAACAATTATTTCCAGTTTACCACATACAATTTCCTTCTATTCCAACAAAATTTAAACACTTTTCGGAATTTCCTTCATAACTTGAACAGGATTTTCTATCTTAAAAAAGAATACATCCAAATCCAGTTGTAACACATCCATTTTAATATAGATTACAATCTATATCAGTATTTAAATTGATTGGTGCATCATTACAAATTCTTAATGTACATTAGGATTATGATTCTTTAACTTTTTCTTATCCTTTGCATTTTCCATCTTTTCCAATATATGTAAAACATTCTTTTTAATTTCCATAATAATTTTCACATAGTTATAATTCTGAAACACATGAAATACCATTAGTTATACAATTTGATTAATATTCTTTACAAAGTTGATCAGTATTAAATTTAGGAGCATCTTAACATTTTTTATTTCTACAATAGATTCCATTTTCATCACCTTGACAAATTCCATCAATTCCAATATAACCTTGACATGTATATTTATCTCCCATATAGGTTTAACATAAAGGTCTAATTTTTGCAAAAATACATCCTTTACCATTAGTAATGCATCCTACTTAATATTTTTAGCAATCAAGATCATTATTATATTTAATTGGAGCATTTTCACATTTTTTAGATTGACATATATCATCTATACCTAATTCACAATAACCATCTGAACCAATATATTTACTACATGTATTTTGATTTCCTCTGTAGGTTGAACATTATGGTAATGGAGAATCCCAACATCCCATTCCTCTTGTTATGCATCCTTTTAACCATTAATCACATTCAATATCGGTTATTAATTTATCATCACTATCAGAACACTAATAATCCTTACAAATATTATTCAATTTATCCCATTTACATCTCCTTATACCTGATTAACTTGGTTATATTTCACATTTGGCTTCAGTATAATCTTTGCAATCACTTATATTTATGCATTATTTCCCATTACTAATACATTAATAAGATACTCCTTAACATTCTTATGTCCATGGATATTCAAATGCTGAACAACCACCAAATACTACACATTTCTTATTTACATAAGCACAACCATTTGTTAATCTACAATTCTTATCACTCTCATTTATTAAATCACAGTATGATTTATAATCTATTATCATACTACCACCTTTATCTTCTCTCTTTTAACATTTTCCATTCCCTTTTTCAGAATCTTTTATCCATTCACAACTATTTTCAAATTTCACATTTACACAATCTAACTATGATTTTAATTAATTGCATTCCTTGCATTTATCATTCTCATTCACTTCATAACATTTTACCATCAATAATAAGCAAATCATTACATAAGATTACATTTAATTTTTATTCTCAATTATTTTATTATATACAATAAAATAGGTCATGATTTATCAAGTCTTTATTTAGATATCATCTATTTATATAATTTTAATTATTATTTATAAATATATCTAAAAATATAAAAATTATTCTCTTTATTTAATTATTTATATTCTTAACTCATTATCCTCAATAATCCATTTTTAATTATTTCAACAGTGAAAAACTCATCTAATTTATACGAAAACGTAAACACATTATTGCTTTCTTTAATTACTACTACTCTTTTAATGCTTTATCTAATATTTAAATATTAAAAAAAACATAACTCCAACTTAAAATCTTCTTAAAATGCTCCCTTACTTGTATTAAACCCTTACTACCAACACTCTATTATTTAATCGTATTTATTTTATTTTTTTAATGCATTTACTTTCCATCTCAATATTTATACCTTTAAAATGATAAAAAATTATATAGCCATTATTATTTTTTATTCCCAAATCCAAAATTTACATTTATTCTTCTAATTTACTCTCTCTATTACTTTCCCATAAATATTATGCTTCAAATCAAATTCATAAATATTACAAATTTCTTGATAATAAATTATTTAATTAAGATTATTATTTATCCCATACTTCCAACATTCTATTACTTCATCCTATCTTCCCTATTAATCTAAAACTTTAGCTATATTTTATTATTCCAATAAATCAACCTTTTTTTCTATAATAATAATCGTCATGAAGATTATTCTAGATTCCTATATCCCAACATTATACTACTTCCTCAATTCTTTCCAACTTACATAATATTAATGCTTTCAATATCATTCAATCATAACCTTTCTGTATATAATAAAATTTTTTTCTTTTGTTATTCTAAATTCCTAAATCCCAACATTTTATTACTAAATCAAATTGCTCTACTTTCTCTAAAGCATTAGCTTCATTTTTATTTAATATCTCTACCTTTTTACTAATAAAAAAATTAATTCATCTTGTTGTGCTCTATACCTTAATTCCAACAATCTATTATTTATTCAAAGCTTCCATATTTCTCTAAAAGAATCACTAAATAAATATACTTTCTATTTACCTTTCTCTATGTAAAATTATTCTTAAATTTTATTGTTCTTTATTCCTTAATCCCATAAATCGATTGCTTCTTTTATACGATCTAGTTTTAGTAATAAAGAAGCTTTTCAATTTTATATCCTAAATTATACAATTTTATTAGTAAAACAATAAATTGTTTTTATTATTTTTTATAGCCTAATACCAACAATCAATCATCTCTTCAAATCTTCCATATTTTTCNTACTACTACTCTTTTAATGCTTTATCTAATATTTAAATATTAAAAAAAACATAACTCCAACTTAAAATCTTCTTAAAATGCTCCCTTACTTGTATTAAACCCTTACTACCAACACTCTATTATTTAATCGTATTTATTTTATTTTTTTAATGCATTTACTTTCCATCTCAATATTTATACCTTTAAAATGATAAAAAATTATATAGCCATTATTATTTTTTATTCCCAAATCCAAAATTTACATTTATTCTTCTAATTTACTCTCTCTATTACTTTCCCATAAATATTATGCTTCAAATCAAATTCATAAATATTACAAATTTCTTGATAATAAATTATTTAATTAAGATTATTATTTATCCCATACTTCCAACATTCTATTACTTCATCCTATCTTCCCTATTAATCTAAAACTTTAGCTATATTTTATTATTCCAATAAATCAACCTTTTTTTCTATAATAATAATCGTCATGAAGATTATTCTAGATTCCTATATCCCAACATTATACTACTTCCTCAATTCTTTCCAACTTACATAATATTAATGCTTTCAATATCATTCAATCATAACCTTTCTGTATATAATAAAATTTTTTTCTTTTGTTATTCTAAATTCCTAAATCCCAACATTTTATTACTAAATCAAATTGCTCTACTTTCTCTAAAGCATTAGCTTCATTTTTATTTAATATCTCTACCTTTTTACTAATAAAAAAATTAATTCATCTTGTTGTGCTCTATACCTTAATTCCAACAATCTATTATTTATTCAAAGCTTCCATATTTCTCTAAAAGAATCACTAAATAAATATACTTTCTATTTACCTTTCTCTATGTAAAATTATTCTTAAATTTTATTGTTCTTTATTCCTTAATCCCATAAATCGATTGCTTCTTTTATACGATCTAGTTTTAGTAATAAAGAAGCTTTTCAATTTTATATCCTAAATTATACAATTTTATTAGTAAAACAATAAATTGTTTTTATTATTTTTTATAGCCTAATACCAACAATCAATCATCTCTTCAAATCTTCCATATTTTTCTAAGAATGAAGCTAAAAATTTTTGATTAATTTCTACATTTTTCAGTATAATAATAGCAAGAATTTTTATTATTAGAAATTCCTAAATCCCAACATTCTATTATTTCATTAATTTTATTCTATTTCTCTAAAGCCATAACTAAAATTTGATATTCAAACTAAACCTTTTTAGACATAAAAAGTTTCATCAGATAAATTTAATTAGATTCCAAGATCCCAACATTCAATTAATTCTTTTGATCTCCCAAGATTTTCTAAAATATTAGCTAAAAATAATATAATTTTTAACCTTTTTGTAAATAAAACTAAATATCTTTATTATTATTCTATATTCCCAATTACCAGCAATCAATTACTTCTTCAATTCTTTCTTATTTTGTTAGTGCATGGGCTAAGAAATTAATTTTTAGTTTTTACATTTTTGTTTATAAAATTCTAAATCATTTTTATTATTTAGAATTCCTTATTGCCAACATTCAATTATTTCTTCGTTTCTATTGATTCTTTCTAATGCATTTGCTTTAATTTACTTATATATTGTTTACCCATTTTTTAATAAAAGCAGATATTATTTTTATTTTATTAAACTGCTTATTGCCAACATTCTATTACTTAATTCAATCTTCCCATTTTTTATAAGATTTATGCTAATAACATAAATAAAATTAATTATACATTTTTACTCATAATTGTTTTTATTTTTTTTATCCATCTTAATAGCCCAATCCCAACAGCTTATTGCTTCCTCAAACTTATCTAGTTATTCTAATGCAAAAGCTAATATCTTATATTTTATAAAAGAAACATTTTTATTCAATTAAATATTTTTAAATTCTAGAGGATTCATTTTTATAACTGTAATATTCAATAGTTGTTTATTAAAATCTATTTTTATTTATTGCTTTATCTATATAAATTAGATTTATTGATTACCAAACTATTTTTCATTTATCTTTAAAGCTTAATCGCAAAAATCTAAAATTTCTTAGAATTTCATGTTTTATTTTAAGGTTTATACTAAATGATAATTCTCGAATAATAACTTTATTCTTCAATGTATTAAAATTTATTTTGAACTTGTTAATTCATTTCAATTTAATAATATGATTATATAATCTAATTTAGAATTAAAATGAAAATAGGAAAAGCAATACGTTAAAAAAATAAAAGACTCAAGAAATAATGATATTTATTGCAAATAACAGAAAATTCACATATAAAAAGAAATAATATCATAAATAGTTTTCATAAATTTATGTCTTTAATTGATTTAATTTAGTTTGTCTTATATTTGACAATTAAATTAGAGATGAGTATGATATTTTCTTCACTATTATAATCAGCATTAATTTCATCAAATATATCCTCTTTTTATAAACTTAATATTTCTGAGTTTGCTTATTAACTCTAGGTTGTTGTGCAAAATGATAATTATTACTCTTATTTATTTATAAAAAATAAACCATTTGATACTTAAATCATTTACATAAACACTTCTTTGATATAAACATAGTTTGGCATTATATCATATTTTAAAGAATTTATGTATGACATTAATCTAGAAAAATTAAGAGGAGATTTCTGTTAATAAATGATTGTTTTAACAAATGAAAATTTAGATTTCTTAATGAACTCATTATCCTCATCCATAAATCCATATAACTTATTTTCAGACCATGGCAATCTCACTTAATTATATAATAAATTAAATTACAATTTTGTAAGTAACATAATACATATATTAAACTTTCTAAATCATCTTTATATCCTAATTGTTCACCATTATGTGAAGATCTACTTGCAAAATTTAAAGAGCCAATAAATATATCTTATAAGAATTCTGAATTTTGAATAAATTATTATGATAAACCAAAATCAATAAGTTGAATAAATCCAGGTTGTAAAATATCTGATTATTTTATAATTGGTTGAGAGAGCATAATATTTTAAGGTTTTATATCAAGATGTAAGATGTTATTCTAATGGACTTTTTCTAATATTTCAATCACTTTTAAACCGATTATTAATAAAGAAGAGAAAGATAATGGTTGAGATTAAGCTAAATCAACTAAATTACAATGAAATAGTGGAAGGATTATAAAACATCTTTAATTTATTATTACAAAAATACTTTTTATCTCCAGTTATTCCAAATTATTTTACCATAGGAACACCTTATATTCCTTATAATTTATTAAGTATTTAGTATTCTTTCTCTAATTAACCTATTTTAGCAGATTTTTCTATCTTTACAGCAAATTATTCAGAATGATATACTTACTCCGCTTTATAAACAAAATGTTTAGATCCACATCCTATTTTTGATATAATCTTATATGTTGGGATTTTTAACTACATAAAAATTTTTAGTTAATTAATAGAAAGTTTGAAGAACAAAATTTTTAAATAATAAAAAGTTTAATTCAAAGGGGGATAAATTTTGATTTATTAGAGTAATTTATTGAACTAAGACAATTATACATTTTATGACTTTCTTATCAATTTAAATATCAATATAAGAAATTTAAAATATTCTGTTTTAGAGAAATATCCAAATTTTAGAAAATTAATCTCCTAAATTTTTGATTGTTTTTGAGAAAAGAAAAAATCAAAAATTCATGTATCATGTTGCTGAAAATGTTTCATATTCATATAAATTAAAGTTGGCAGATTGAGATTTTGAAATATGAAACAGATCAAAAAATCAAATTTTGTGAGACTTAAAATCTTAATGATTTTTAATTGTAAAAAATTTGAAAAGAATATTTTTGTATATTTCCATAATAGAAGAAATAAGCCACTAAATCCAAAACTTACTGAACATGAAAATTAATCATTTTTATCTTAATTTTATTTTATAATAATATTAATAATCTTATAATTAATCAAATTATTCTATTTAATCTTCAGATTACTGTTCATATTTATGAAATTTTGTTCAATATTGCTTATAAACTATGTTATCTTTATATAAATAAAATATTTATCTTTTTTTTATGTTTATTTGGATGAGTTTTATTATATCTAAGATAACAAGGAAACTTAATTTCTATTGAAATACTAGATGCTTCTAACTATCTTATAAAAAATTTAAAATATTTTAATTATTTTACAATATTAAATTTAAAACACAAATACAAAAATTATTGGTAATCTCCTTTTTGTTAGCAACTAATATATAAGATCATCTAAATTATACTTAGTTTCGCTATAAGTATTTGAGCATTTATTTAAAATCTTTTAACAAAAAAGAATAAGTATTATAAAATTTAAAATAATTATTAGAAAAAGTGCTAACAAAATTGATTTTGACAACAATTTACAAATTCTTATGATGATTATATTTAAAGAATAAAAAATATGATACTTTTATTATAATTCATTTTGAAATAAATCTATAACTAAATATGATTATTAATTATTATAATGAAATCGAAAAATAAATAAAAAAATTTTCAAAATATCTTTATATCAATCTAAATACATAAATTGTTAAAAAATGATAAAGTTTAAATTATTAATCCATGAAAATATGTACTTTTGATATATTCTTATATTGGATATTTGTACAATTAGTTTGCGTTAAAAGCTAATGTGAAGAAATTCTTGATTAATCAGTTTGTAATTCAAATGATTTATGTGAATGGAATTATTGGAAACCATCATTATGTCAAAATATTTGTAGTTCATTAATAAATGAAAGTACTTGTAATTTAGCAGTGAATTGTTAGTGGTCAGAAAACTCATCATCTTGTTTCATAAAAAAGTGTACAGATGAAAAGAATAAGGATAAATGTGCTTAGATTGTAATAATTGTAATTTATTTAGGTTGCTTGTTTTTGGTCAAAAGATGTATGTTGGGATTCTTCTTGTGTTTAACTATAAGCAGAATAAGCTGGTAAGTGTCCGATTGCATATTGTATTTGGAATGAGAAAAGGAAGCTCTGTTATGATAAGAAATGTTCAGACTATTATAATTAATATGATTGCTCTCAAATGTCATTTTGCTCTTGGTATAAATACAAGTGTTTAGATAATGGCAATAAGAAGCTTGATTTTTGAATTAATTTATAAAACCTTTAATTATTACCTGAAATTATCTTAAAGAATAATTTTATCAGTATAATTAAATTATATAATTAATGTTTTCTCTAATCTGTATGATAATAAATTTATTAAAGAGCTCCTTAATAAATAATTGCAACTATTCATTGTAATAGACTTATGCAATAATAATATAATTTATTATCTCATTTCTAAAATAATGAAAACTTTTAATGTCATAAAACAGAAATAATTACAAAATTTATAAAATAATTAATATCTAATTTGATATTTTTCTATCCATTCTTATACTGATTTTATAAAGAATTACTAATTGTCTAATAGAAATTTAAAAGGTATTAATAGAAAGCTTAATTTAAAGTTCAAAATGAATAATTCACCATTTTTTATTTTGTCGCTATCATAATATATCAAAATTTATAGTTATATATAAATCACTAATTATTTTGTATATATATCTATTTCTGGTATTCTCTCTCATTTCAATTCTTCTCAAAAATTAAAACAGTCATAATTTTTTAATTTACTTGAAAATTTGTCATTATTTCCGTCTTACATTACCAATTTTCAAGTTCTATAAAAATTTTAATAATTAATTTAAAAATAAATTGCAATACCGTTTCTTAATTAAAGAAATTGTCAAAAATAATTTTTTATTGTTTTTTAGGTACAAAAATATCACCAACTTTTAAAGTTTTAGGAATCTCACTTATAAAATAAAAAAAATATAAGGTGGCCAAATAAGAAAAATTAAATGATATAAAATAATAAGAGTTTTTTAAACAGGAAATCGTATCACCTATTGTCATTTGAAATTTATGCTCTCATTACTAACCAGTAATATTAGTAATTGATCTATTATTAAAAAATATCCATAAAATAGAGTATTATTTTATAAATCAATCAAATTTAAATAATTTTTCTAATACTACTTTTAATTCATCTTGATTAACAGGCTTTGGTAGAAATTTACTGATACCCAAAATTGAACCTTTAATGTAATTTTCTTAAGTATCATATGCAGAACAAATAACAATTGTTGATTACTTTTTTGTCAATTTCAAAATCTAAAAATTAGATTAAATTATATACTTGTTTACTTGTTTAGAATCCATCCATTCCAGGCATTTCTATATCCATAAAAATTAATCTATATGTTTAACAATGTTATAACATTTTGAGTTTAACTTTTTCGATAGCTTGAAATCCATCAAATACAGAATCTGCTTCAATATTATAATTTTTTAACATCATTTTTAAAGCTATTTGATTAAATGGAATATCATCAACAATTAAAACTTGAATACAATTTTAGCAAATAGATTTTGGTTTTTAAATACAAGAGGTTTATAATTCTTATAAATTTTTACAAGAAGATACAAATTTATGATGAAAATATTCTGGACTAATTGGTAGTAAAATCTCTCGTTGAATTTCAAAATCATTTAATCTAGAAGTTGCTTTATAAGTCTCTGAATTTTGATCTAAATTTTCTGAATCATTTTTAATTTTAGAAAATTAAATATTCATTTAATTTGCAACTTTATCATCAATATTTATCTTATTATGTGGATAAAGTAATTCTGATTAATTAAAATTCCCAGTTTATTGTGTAAATAAATTAGATGATTATTAACAGATGTTTTAGTTAAATTACAGATTTTCTAATTTAAAAGAGACTATAGTTCCTTAATTTTTAATAGATTTAATTATTAATTTATTATCCTAAGCTTCTGTTAATCCTTGTACAAGTTTTGCAACAATTCTTAATCCTAAACCTTTTTTCTTAATATCATAATTTTATTTCAATATGGCACCAAATTCTGTTGTATCATATAAATTACTTTGTATCATATGTAATTATTTTTCTTCAATGCCTATTCCATTATCTTTAAGTTCTATATTAATTGAAAAATATTCCCTTTCAGTTATGTTTAAATGAATGTAACCACCTTCTTATGTAAATTTTATTGAGTTATTTAATAAATTTACTAATATTTATAATATTCTCTATTTATCATTAGATATGATTAAATCTATTAGATTATGATTGATATGAATTTTAAATTTGATTTTCTTAAATATCATCTAAGCTTTGTATAATTCTTCTATTTCATCAATAATCAAATTTATTGGGAATTATGTAATATGATAAGAAAACTAATATGACTAAATAGCAGCATAATCTATAATGTCATTAATTTAATGTATCAATAATTTAATAGAGTTCTATGCAATTCCAAGACATACCTTTTTATCTTCTTCATTTTATACTTGTTTCATTATATTGAGCATATGCTAACAACTATTTAAAGGTGTTCTTAATTCATGAGAGAATGATTTGATTAGACTGTGATGAATAATCTGTTCATCTCTTATTTATTAACATTTATGTTTATGTGTGATATTTTTAATTATTATAAGAAGGATAGGGTTATCAATATCAGAAATTGGTTAAATATTAACTTTGCTAACACTTTAAATTTATGACTAAGATTGAAAATATTCTTACTATTAAATTGTCATAGATGTAGGGATAATTATTAATTTTAGTATTTTTTATGAATTATTCTTTTTTAAACCAGATTTAATAAACCATTCATATATAAATATCTATGATATAAAATTCATAGAATTATCTCCAAAAATTAAATCTTGTTTAGATTCAATAATACTTGAATATTTATTAGGTTACAAAATGATATCCAAAACATCAACTGTTATATTTTTATTTTATAAATGGCTAATTATTTCTTTTAATACACGATAATGAAGTTATTTTTATTATTACTTTGCTTGAAAAGAATTTTAATCATCAATTTAAAAATCTCGTATCTTTGCATCATTTACACAATTTTTTATTTTTTCTAATATTTTATCTGCTCCTTAACATTCTAAATGCTTTTCACATTTGTTATTCATAAAACTAACTTGTTAAGCAGAGTTTAAAATCAAAATTCCTTAAGGAAAGATATTGAGTAAATTTTAATAAAATGAACACATCGATTAATCAGATTTTTCATAGCTCTTATTTAATTTCTAAAAATTAGTCAAATTAGAATATTATATTAATTTCATTTCACTAGGAAGATCTCTTAAAAATACACTCATATTCTATTAAGGAGATTATTTAATTGATAATTTACTTTATGATTTTAAAGATGGAAATATCTATTAATTTTAAAGTATTGGTAAAGATTCTCTCTCTTCTTTAATTTTTAATTAATATTTTGTTGTTTTTTCTTAAAAGTTCTTCTTAAATTAAATTTATAGCAAAATTATGTATTTTATGAATAATAAACATAATATTATTAAATTTACTATCTAATAGATGCTAAAATCAATAATTAGTGTGTATATTGTTCTAATTAAAAGATAAAATGGAATCCCTAACTAACAAATTAAACTATATTTCGATATAGCAATTTTTATGTAATCCTAATATGTAAATAAAATTAATAAAAAATTTGAGACTATTTCTAAATTGTGATTAATCTAAATTAATAAAAATGATTCAAAATAAATTACAAAATATAACAAGGACATTAGATGAATCACAAAATTTAACCAATATTCTTTTGCAATCAAAATTAGTTATAAACATCTTAATAATAGACAAGCCAATTGAAAAATAAACACAGAATAATTTATTGGCTATAAAAGCCATAAGGTATTCAATATCCACCATATATTTTAGATTAAATTTGCAATAAAAATTGAGTTAAGCCATAAAATTTCCAATAATTTCTTAATTTTAATTTAGAAGTCCATATATCTGTGATTAATTTATTAAAATAATGAACAAAATATTTGAATTATTTTAGTCTTTTTATTCTAAACCAGATTAAAATTATCGACTATTTTTTATTAATTTCATCTCCCATTTCTTTCTTAGTAAAAAATACTCAATAAATACTTAGTTATTCTTGAAATTTTTGGCTGGTCTTAATATATTTATTAGTTATGATCATAGATTCATTCATATTCTAAGCTTAATATAGACTAAAAGATCAAAATTTCCTCTAATTAATAATTAATTTCACTTTTTAAATCAGATATAAGAATATGATTATCAAAAATATAGAACTTTTTTATTGATCTTTATTTTCAATACTAATTTAATAATTTTTTAAACATCATATTTTTTATTGATTTTATTTTATTGGTTTAATAAAGATTTCCTTATTTACTAATTATTTAATTCTTAAAATTATGATAATCCATGAATTTATTATGAAAATTCTTGATTAAATTTTAAAATTGAATTATAATTGTTACTATTTGTAAATTCCTGATTATATATTTTGTGATTTTAATTATACTACACCATTTTGAGTTAGCAAATCTAAATTAAATCAACACATTTTTTAATTAGCTAATTCACATCATCTATATCTTCTTGTTTATATATTAATTAATTTATTCAAAAATTCATAATAATATTTTTTGCATAATTCTATTGGGATAGATAGTTTATTATTTAGAAATTTGATAACGAAATAAAATTACATTTATTATAATAGCTATAAATTAATTTATTTTCTTATATACTTTAGCATTTAGTTTTCAAATAATTAGTTCGCAATTATAATTATAGTATTAATATAATATTCTTAATAATTTATATACTCATTCAATCAAACATTTTCTTAAATGTCAATTTAAGAATATTCATTAAATCTGTTGTTTGTTTGATTATTCTTCTTTTTAAAAAGCAATAGAATGAGAAATCCTAAAAAAATTACATTTATAACTCCTATAAACAATAAAATGACAATTATATATTTATTCAATCTGATTAGTTAATCAACATCACTTATCAAATGTTATTCAAATTCATTCTTAAAGTATTTTCCTAATTGATGTGATGTAAAATCTTCAACCAGAGATGCTAATAAATTACCCCATGAGTTACTCATATTTTATAATAATAATTATAAAATTTCATCATAATATTTGTAAATTCTTTTATATTTTTGCATTTTTTTCTTAGTTTATTGATATAATTAATAAGACTTATCAATTTGATCTAAATATTTAAGAATTCAAGCTTAGTGAAAATATTTATCCTTCATTTAAAGGGAAATACAAAAAATGATTTTAAATTCCAAAATTATATTTAATTATTGAACATTACTGGTGCATCATACAATTAAACTTTTTCATGATAAAATAAATCTAAATATAAAGAAAATATTAATAATATAGAAATGTAAAATTAATAGAATGAAAATATATCATTTTTTTAAGCAATTATTACTTGAAATAAAAAATTAATCATCAAAAATTTTTTGTATTGTAATAAATTGAATCATATTATAAAAAAAAGGATGAATGTGTATCTATAATAGATGATATTTTATAAAAGAATATAGAATATACTTATAATTTATTTAGATAAAATATTAAAATTATTTATTTGATAAGAAATTTATTATAAAGAATGAATCCAACCCCGTTGAATTATTTATTTTTTATTAGCCAAATAATTTATTCAATATTCTTCTAAATTAATTTATAAGAAGATATTTACGATGGCTGAAGCCTCATAATACAAAGTTTTATCTAGTTTAGGATGTGGTTCAGAGCATATTGTATATAAAGTTGAATTAAATGTAAATTCAGAGTTATATGCAATAAAACTGGAAAAATCTGCAGGAGTAGGTTAGTTGAAGAATGAAATATAAATGCTCTAAAAATTAAATGGAATTGAAGGAGTTCCATAAATCAAACACTTTGGATAAACTAGAGAGTAGAAGTACAATTTAAATTTATGAATTAGATAATTTTTAATCGTACCTTTATATCATTGTAGTTTATTAGAATTAGCAAAATCAAGAAAGCTTAGTTAGACACAAATATTGACTATAGGTTTAAGAATAATAGAAATTATTGAAAAAGTACATTAATAAAATATATTACATCTTGATATTAAACCAGAGAATATAATGTTATCTTAATAATCTTCAAATGATTAAGATATCTTAAGACCTGGTTTTATTCAGTTAATTGACTTTGGTTTATCATAATAATTTAATGAGAATTCAGAATCATTACAAGATGTGTTTATAGGTTCTTTAAATTTTGCTAGTAGATCTTCTCATGAAGGAACACACCTTGGATACAAAGATGATTTAGAAAGTTTATTGTATGTATTATTATACATTCGAGATTGTAATTAATTAATTATATAACTTTAGTTAGATTGCCATGGTCCGAGAATACATTTTGGGGATATTAAGAATCTGATTTCGAAATGGTAGGATAAATTAAATCTTCTTTCTTCAAAACTAAGCTTTTATAACAATAATCTAATCTAAATTTTTATCCTTTTATGACTTATATAGACTAATTAACTCATAATCTAATGCCAGATTATGATTATATCAAAAAACTATTTGCTTAGATGATTTATGCATCTTATTCTCTGAAATCTATATAAAATTAAGAAAAAAAGTATGTCTTTTCTGGTTAATTTTAAAGAGAGACAATATTTGAAAATTCGGAAACCATCAATATTTCTTTAGATAAATTTCCAAAATCAAATAATTATGAAGAAAATGAAAACTTTCATGATAGCATTTCTACCTTAGTCTCTAAAATGATTGGATAATATACTACACATTAGATTAAATCAATTAAAGACATTTCATAATGAAGGATATTTTAATATATTTCTTAAATATTAACTGAAATTTTGGTGTTAAATAAACATATATATTTTTTTATCTTTTTTACTTACTCTTCTTTAATTTTATAATTTTTATGGTTCCATTTTAGCAATCTTTAAGTGGGTTTTTAATATGTGATGGCGTTTACATTTAAATTTCTTCAAATAAATTTTAGTATTGCAAGAAAATATTTATAGCTTAATATATTACATGAGAAAATTTTGAAGCGAAAATTTAATTCTCTATTTTTTCGAATAATTACACTTTTTTAATTTAAAGATGCTTAAAATGTTATGTGCTTGTATAATATTGTTTCATTTTAAAAATAATTTCCAAATTCATTAATTGTTGGCTTTAAGAATAAAGATTTATACGTTTAGAATAGATTACATCATCAAAGCTATTTATTTTATTTTACCGTTTTACATGTGAATTATGCAATTTATGCTGATAAACTTTTATATGAGAATGTTTAAATTTACATGAATTTCTATCTGTAAAATAAATAAATTAAAAAAAGTAATTATGGAAAATATATAAAAATCATTTTTATTACATTTATATATATTGTTAATTATTTAAATTTCAAAATAAAACAATAATTATGAAAATGGTCTCTGATCTTCAAAAGCTCTTTAAAACTTTCCAATATAATAATAATTTGAAAAATTATTTAATAAAAAGAGAATTTTGAAAAAAAAAAAAACATTATTTAGTAAAAACCAGATTATATTAATTTTAAACTTGAAAAATAAAATTGCTTGAATTTTTAAAAAGACAATAATTTAAAAAAAATTTAGATGATACATTATTTCTTGTTCATAAAAAGCAATAATTATCATAATATTCCTTAATTGAATTTGGTAAATTATATAATTCATTCTAATAAAAAAATATCATTAAATATTTCTTTTTATTGTTTGAATGTTTAAAGTATATTAAAAAATGTATTACAAAACCTGATTAATTGTTTATAAAGTGAAAGTTTTGGCATAATTTTTGTCTTCGTAGTGATTATTCCATAATCAATATTTAATTAAATTTAAAGAAATCTATAATATTAAGTTTTATTTATTGACATTATGATATCACATTTATAATTGTTTATGAATATTATCATGAAGGTATTTAGAACATATGATGGATTAAATCATTGATTAATTTATAAATTACGCTCTAATTATATTGATTATTAATTATATTAAAATTAAATATAATGGCTGATTATTTATAAATTATTTAATAAATTTTATCTTTTTTTTATAAATATATCATATACAAATAAAAAGATTCTTAAATTAACGATCAATGTAGATTATTAAATTTCTATTTCTCAATTTTTGACCATTCACTTAAGTGAATTATTAAATGCAAAATATGTGTTTTATGATTTAAATAATAATTTAATTATGAATAATAGCGATTTTAAATGTAAATTATAGAGAATTAAACCTAGAAAAACTTAATAATAATTTTATTAAGAAGATTCGATAAGCTATAAAAGAATAATAATTAATGTGTATTTGATGAAATTTTATTAATTTAGAAAAATTCTTTAATAATAAAGAAAATAAAATATAAAAATTTTTTTGTAAAGATTGATAGATTTGGGAAATTATTTTTATAAATTACTAAAAGCAACAAATTAAAAGAGTTAAGAGTAGTGAAATTTTGATACAAAAAATAAAAATTAGAACATGCTGCATAAATATTAAAAAAGTGATGAAGAACCTTATTGTATTTATTAAAAATTTCAATGATAATTAAATCATATTTTAAGAAATAGAGAGAAATGGAGAATTTATTATCTAATTATTAATTAAATGGTAATATATCAAATTAAATATATATTTTATGATTTTAATAATTTCCTTATTAAGAGTATGCTTAAGTTCTCATTTTCATATTCCAGATCAAACAAAATAAATACACTATTTTAATTGGAATGATGATTTTTTAGGATTAGGAATATTAACTAAATATTGTCCTTTGGGAGTAAGTAAATATCAGTATGAAAAATAAAATGATTATTACTATTACTTTTTATAAAGTGCTTACTTTAGAAATAATAATGAATTTCTTTATTTGATGTATTTAGAAATTCAAAATGAAGAAAAATAATTTATATTTCATGTTTAATTTAATTTAGAAGGTAAATGGATTGAATGCATTTTTTCATTTTAGGCAAGAGTTGTTGAAGGTTTTTGGCTTAAAACAGTCATTTATCATTAAACAGAAAATTAATTATTAATTATAGAATAATTATGGGGAAGTGATTAACGATAATAATTTAAATTTCCTTCTAGTTATTAACCAAATACTCAAGTAATTTTAATTTCTGGAGGATTCTATTAAGTAATAAAATATATCTTATTTAGGATATTAATCCAATCACAAATTAGAATATTTTATTAAAATAATTTCCAGGTTAAATGAAAGCAGTAAATTTATTGTAAGAAGAATTAAAAAAACCTTGGGCATATTTAAGTAATGAAAAAAGTTCAACTGTTATAGTATTATAGAAAGAGAATATTAATTTAGAAGAAAAAAGTACAAACTTATTTTATACTATATCTACAATTACTGAAAATTATTATAAAGTTTCTTTTTGGGCAAAAGCATAAACATTATATGATAAAAGCTTTAATTAATTGATACATATAATACGAATAGTGGCAAATAGATATACTCAAGACTTTTAGGCAACAGGATCTAATTCTTTTGTATTGGAATATGTCTTTGATAGATAAATACAATAATGGAAGTTAAGGATTAATTTTTATTCTTATATAATTCCTATTTTAGTAATTTAAATTCCAGATTAAAGTTTATTAATAACTACTGATGAATTATTAATAGAGGATTATTAATATATTAACACTTGGCATTTTATATCTATTGAATATTCACCAAATAATATGAATTTTAATTTTAATAATCTTTAATTTAATTATTAAATTAATAAACTTTATAAAGATGTTTATCAATATTCATTAATATATTATAGAATATTTTTAGGTGGATCTATAATGGATACAAATACATTAGCAAGATCATTTTCTTTAATATCCTTTTATGATTATAATTCATAATATTTAAAATGCCATTTCTCATGCTAAACTTGTTTTGGTCCATTATATAATCATTGTTTAAGTTGTCCTCCTAATTCAAATAGAATTTATAATTAATTAGACTTCACTTGTTAATGTTAGTTATGGTATAAAGAAGTTACTGGTTAAAGTTGTAATTTAGTATCTAATAATGAAATCACATTAACTTTAGTAGATAATGATGAAATCGAAACTATAAACTGTCTCTTAGGAGAATTTGAATATAATGGAGATTGCTATAAATGGTAATACTTATCTATATATATATATTTTTAGTCCTTTAGCGGGTTAAGATCATTAGATTATATGTTCAGCTTGTTTAATGAGACCAACAGATTGGATCTAATATCCATTATGTTTAGATATATATTATCAATATTAAAATAATCCAAATAATCAATATGTATAATTAATTACACATGAAGAATTATCAAATTAATATTATATATTCTAAAATGATGAACTTTAACCATGTCAAGGTTGTAAATTATGTTAAAATAAAGATGATAATACATGTCATTTATCATCCTATACTCATTTAAATATGCAAACTTATATTTAGTGTTTAAAAGGATATTATTTCAGTAATGGATTATGTATTAAATAAAATAAGAATCTAGATACATAAATTACATCATGTGATAATAATTGTGTTAAATGCAATAATAATTAATGTTTAATTTGTTCAGATTAAAATAATTTCTTTTTAAATTATATGGGATAATGTTAACTATGTACTATTAATAATTGTTAATATTGTTTCTAATTTAATCTATTAAATTTAAATGAAAATTCAATCACAAGAAATGGATTTTAAAATACATTAGTAACTGATGATTTCGAAATTGGTTGTGCATTATGTTAAATAGGATATATTTATTCATTTCTAACTAAATTATGTCATCCTTCATATATTGATTATGGTTGTTAGCATTATATTAATTTAAATGATGAAATTCAATGTTATTCAACTCAATTTGACAAATTAACTACTAAATTACAATAAATTGATAATTGTTAAAACAATTTATCTTATTGTGATTAATGTATCTATTCTAAATTTGGTATGTTAATATGTATTAAATGTTCTTATGGTTTTTTTATAAATAAAGAAAATGGATAATGCAATAAATGTTCAAATCTTATAGATGATCACATTTAACATTGTCAACTTATAGATACAACTAATTCAATTTATAAATTATCTTTATAAGGCTTTCTCTAATTTTAAACATAATAATTAAATGATTTAACTACTATTTATAATGATTTTAATAATGTTTAAATTATTGAATGCTAATAAAATTATATATTAGATTAAATTTAAAACTAATGTGTTGCTTCATGTACTTTTTGTGATCAATGTGCCTTTATAAATGGATAAAAACAATGTCTTAAATGTATTTCATCATATGTTTAGATGAATTATTATTATTCTCAAAAATTAGGAAATTGTCATCAATGTCAATAACTATGTAAATTTTGTTTACAAATAGATATTGATCTTATTTAAGTATTATTTCATTATAAATTAGAAATATAATCCTTATTTTATTATTACAGAAAAAAGTATTAATTAAGCTAAGAAATGTCTAATTAATTTTGATTAAAATTTAACCTACATTGATTCAAGAAGTGGTTAACTATATCCATTTAATAATCTTACTAATAAATAACAATATTTTTCAGCTAATTATACTGAAAAAAGCCCAACAACCTTGTAAATTAATGAGGATATCATTTAGAAAAGCGCTAGAAAAATTAATTAAAGTGTTAATGCAGCTGAAAATCATTACTCATATTTGCATAACCACTATTCTTTGTCTGATTCTATAGTTTATTTAGATGATAAATTTGTAACTACTGAATAACATTTTCATATCTTTAATGTAACAGAGGTAAGAGCATACTAAGTTAACTTTTAAAAATTATTATATTATTATGATCTTCAATCATTTTATGGAGTAAAACTTTATGTTGAAAATTGTACAATCCAATAAAGATTACTTTAATAATTATTTATTATTAACTAACCCCTTATTGTTAATCTCACTCTATTTATCATAAAAGATATAAATTTTTAACAATCCTCAATTATTACTGTAAATAGTTTTTTCAAAAATTCAACTATAATTGTACAACATTTTCTCTTTTAAAATACATCTTTTTCTAATAGTTTCTTTATAAAACATTTAACAGATAACTAAGATAGTGTTTATTTTAGTAATATAACTTTTACTAATTGCTCTTTCAAAGAAAGCATATGGTTTTATTAAAAAGGAACAACCAATATTAATATTGTATAATTAAGAAGTATAAAATTCATAAATTGCACTTTTATAGACAGTCTTGCTATTCAAATAACTGAGAACATTGATTCCTTTTCTATCAATGATCTTTAAGTTATAAATTGTTCATTTTTTAATTCATCATTAATAAAAGGTTTCTCAAATCTTAAAATAAATTAAATATTTTTAAATAATTTAAGTGTAATACAAAGTAATTTATTCATTTATTCATTTGCTAACAGTAACTAAACTGTATTATTCACTTAATTAGTTTCTTAAGGTCTTTTATTTAATAAATCATCCATTTTTTTTGTTGAAAACAGATTTAAATATTTATAAATAGAAGTTATCATAAGTGATTGGAATTTAGAGAATATTAATTTTTTATCTACTTAAGGATATATTAGCGATAGTTTCATTTTCATAATATCTAATGTGAATATTAAATTAAAAGATCTTATAATAGAAAAAAGCATATTATTTTCATTACTACTTTTTCAGAATTGTCAAGCAATAGTAATAAACAATATATAAATCTCTTAAAAAGAAAAAAAAGAATTAAATATATATAATCTAGATACCTAATTTTAAACCAATTATTTAATGTATTTTTCAGAATTTATTTATTTAACTATTAATAATTTGAAAATAATAGGTTGGGTTTAAACAATTGATTCAGTTTTAATTATTAGATCTAATTCTTATGTTTCAAAATATATAGAAATATCTGAATTGATAATTAATGATTACTCAAGTTATAATATTCTAAATTAAATAAATTCAATAATCTTTATTCAAATGAATGCTGAAACAAGAATTAATATATCTAAAAGCTAATTTAAAAAATGCAATTTTTGGTATAGATAACCAAATACTGATATGATGTAAGCAGCATTAATAAGAATTAAATCTCCAAAATCTTAAGTTATTCTTGATAATTTAATTTTTAATATTGCAAATATTTATAATTCTTTGGAATCTATAATTTTTATTGATGCCAAATAAATTTCAATGCTTACTAGTTAAGTTTTAGATATAAATAATGAGTTGATCAATGATCAATTAAAATCTGCTTGTGGATTTGCAATTTTTCTGGCAGAATACATTGATATAATAAATACAATAATGATTAATATTAATAGTGCATAATATGGTTTTATTTACAATTAATTGAAGTTAAAAGGAAATTTTTACGTTGAAAATTGTACTTTCAATAATTATAAAATGACAAACAATAATTTATACTTTTCATAATTAGGAGGAATATTTACAGTAGACGGAAAATTCTCGATGATAAATCTAAATTTTATAAATATTACAGTATTAAACATTTATACTACAGAAAAAGCTGCCTTTTTATATTTAATTCCATCTTCTCTCACTAATTAGANGTAACTAAACTGTATTATTCACTTAATTAGTTTCTTAAGGTCTTTTATTTAATAAATCATCCATTTTTTTTGTTGAAAACAGATTTAAATATTTATAAATAGAAGTTATCATAAGTGATTGGAATTTAGAGAATATTAATTTTTTATCTACTTAAGGATATATTAGCGATAGTTTCATTTTCATAATATCTAATGTGAATATTAAATTAAAAGATCTTATAATAGAAAAAAGCATATTATTTTCATTACTACTTTTTCAGAATTGTCAAGCAATAGTAATAAACAATATATAAATCTCTTAAAAAGAAAAAAAAGAATTAAATATATATAATCTAGATACCTAATTTTAAACCAATTATTTAATGTATTTTTCAGAATTTATTTATTTAACTATTAATAATTTGAAAATAATAGGTTGGGTTTAAACAATTGATTCAGTTTTAATTATTAGATCTAATTCTTATGTTTCAAAATATATAGAAATATCTGAATTGATAATTAATGATTACTCAAGTTATAATATTCTAAATTAAATAAATTCAATAATCTTTATTCAAATGAATGCTGAAACAAGAATTAATATATCTAAAAGCTAATTTAAAAAATGCAATTTTTGGTATAGATAACCAAATACTGATATGATGTAAGCAGCATTAATAAGAATTAAATCTCCAAAATCTTAAGTTATTCTTGATAATTTAATTTTTAATATTGCAAATATTTATAATTCTTTGGAATCTATAATTTTTATTGATGCCAAATAAATTTCAATGCTTACTAGTTAAGTTTTAGATATAAATAATGAGTTGATCAATGATCAATTAAAATCTGCTTGTGGATTTGCAATTTTTCTGGCAGAATACATTGATATAATAAATACAATAATGATTAATATTAATAGTGCATAATATGGTTTTATTTACAATTAATTGAAGTTAAAAGGAAATTTTTACGTTGAAAATTGTACTTTCAATAATTATAAAATGACAAACAATAATTTATACTTTTCATAATTAGGAGGAATATTTACAGTAGACGGAAAATTCTCGATGATAAATCTAAATTTTATAAATATTACAGTATTAAACATTTATACTACAGAAAAAGCTGCCTTTTTATATTTAATTCCATCTTCTCTCACTAATTAGATAAATGTTTATAATTTAACTCTTAAAAATGTATTTTCAGCAGATAATCTATTTTGTAAATTATAATTTCCTAATCACAGTTCAAATAATAAAATTGTAATGGAAAAAATTATAATTAATAATAGTTAAAATAGCTCCTTTGTCTAAAGATTAACTGAAAACATGAAAGTTTTACAGAGTGAAAATAATTATGAAGGACTTATATCAATTGCATTCAGGTAAATTAAATTTATTAACAATAGTTCCGTTTTGATTAATGATTTTACTTATGAAGGTTATTTATCTTAACCTATCTGTAAACTAAATGTGATAAATAAATTAAGAATTAGTAATTTAAAATTTATATCCCTGTCTATTTTAAATCAAATACCATATTTTATTAACATTGATATATAAAGTGGAGATTAAGTAGCTATTCAAAATTTATATTTCGAGAAAATACATTTCGATAAATTAGAATATTTTTTTAAACTTAATTACGATTCCCTTAAAAATACTATCGAATCAAAATCAATTTATTTTAAAGAAATTATTTGTTCTTAATGTTAAAATGGCTTAATGACGATAATTAATAATTAGTCTAAATTTTAAATAAAAGTGATTGAATTTATATTTATTGAAAATAACTGTGGTTTAAATAGCTGTTTAATTTTATAAAATCTTAAATTATAAATTAAAGATTCTTTTTTTTTGAATAACTTTGCTCAAAAAAATGGGATAATATTTGGAATAAAAAGTGATATATATTTATAAAACAGTATATTAAAATAGAATAAAATAGTAGATTTTGTAGGGGCTATATTTTTAAATGAATCTATTTTAGATGCTTAAAATTTAATTATTGTTAATAATTCAGCTAGAATTGTAGGAGCAATTTATAATGAAAATTCTATTTTGAATTTAAGAATGTCAAAAAGAAGAAATATTATGTTCTTAGAGAATTACGCATAATCTGGATTGGATAATATTCACGAAAAGGCTTCTTATTTACAATTAAATATGTTTGGTCTTCCCATTAAAAATACAAGATAAATTTAAGATGATTAAATTATTGATAGTCCATCTTATGTAATGAATCATAGATAAATGAGAACAAACAATACTTTCATATAAGTGGCAAGTGGTTAATAGTTAAATGAATTTAAAGAGTTTGATAAAATTTAAATGAAATATTCTAATTATACTTTATAAATAGAAATAGAAGAACATAATTAATTAGGAGAGAAAATTATTGATAATTATGGAGGAAAATGTTAAATGACTGAATATCAAGTGAATTCTGAATTAAATTAAAGTAATTTTGAAATTATCTAATAATCATAAATAGACAAAATATCTTTTTTATATTTTGATAAAATATAAGAATCATATAAATTGGATAATATAAGTTTTAATTTGGATCCTTATTCAAATTAATCTATATTTTTGTTGATTTTAATTAAATGTGAAGGAATGTCTCAAAATTATAATTTTATATTTAAAATAAAAACAAAACAATGTTAAATAGGAGAATATTACAATAAAAATTAGTGTTTAAGATGTGATTCAGAAAAAGGATATTATTCTGTTGAAAAGAATTCATTTGAATGTTAAAGATTAGATCCAACTAAAATGAAGAATGTAACATCATATTAAATTGAAGTACTTTAGGGATTTTGGAGATATTCTACATATTCACATTATATTGAATAGTGTGATAATTTCAATAATTGTTTAGGAGGATGGAATGTGGACTTTGATTCTTGTACTGTAGGATATATAGGAGCTTTATGCAATGAATGCGATATTTATAATATTAGAGGTCATTCTTCTTTTATCAAATCTTTATCAGGTTTTTGTGAATTGAAAGAGTAACAGTAAGAAATTTATATTATTACTTTAATTTTAATGCTACTGTAATTTTTTAATATATTTTAGAACATTTATTATAACATATTTTATATCTGTCCTTAAAACTGAAATGCATTTTCTGTATAAAAAAATGAAATACATTACAATTCATCATAAAATATTATTTAGATGTGAAATAGGTAATAATTTATTTATTTTAACAGATTAATTGAATACAAGTTTAAAACTGTTAATTAATTTTATGTAAATTTTATATCCAATATTACCACCATTAAATTTTAGTGATAATTTTCCTGCTATTGCATGGCCAATAGGAAAATCATCAAAAACATTATTATTTTTAATCAATTTTGTGGCTGATGATTTTGAGATTGAAATTCATTATTTAAAAATGGTTTGGGCAGTTATTATTCCAATAATGTAAATTAGTACTTTAATATTTGTTTATACATCAATAAATAGAGTTATCAAAAACACTAATATTAAATTAATATTTATTTAGTCTTCTTGTATTTTTTTGATGTTTTATTCTATGCCAAATATTATGGAAGAGTAACTTTAATTTATTATTTATTTAGATTAATTCTTGTTATTTCAAGAAGAAATATAGTTAATATGAATTGGATTGGGGCTAATTTATCATATATCTATTACACTGATGAACATTAAACTTGGATATTTAAATTCATAGTCCCATCTTTAATTTTAATATATTTTTTAATCCCTTTAATAATCTTTGCTATTATCTATTAAAAACATTAATAGTCTAATTTTGATTTATCTTAAGGCATTTATGGATATTTATGTAGTGATTTTAAATTATAATTCTATTTTTGGGAATTAGTGAATTTGTAAATGAAATTAACATTAATTTTTATACTATTTTTTCTAGATAATGATAAAATTATACTTAAAAATCTAATTGTAATAGTAATATTATTTTTATATTATGGTGCAATAGCATACTTAAAACCATATTTAAAAATAAATTTAAACCGTTTAGAAAAATCAGGTATCATTTTATGCTGTGCATGTATTGCATTAAATATTTTAAGACTTGCATCAAATAAATATTCTTATTCTGAAGTATTATTATTGACTGAAATCTTAATGTTATTAATAGTTTTATAAATACTCTTTTATACACTATTTAAAATAATTGCAGCATTTATTAATAAAAATTAAGAGCTATTTGATAAAATAAGAAAGAAAATTAATTCAAGATTTCCAAATTTTATTAAATATGGAAAGTTTTTTGAAGAAAACTTAAAAATTAAAACTGAAATTAGAAAAAAAACTCTCTATAAATTTCAGTTAGCAAGATTACTTTTAAAAAGATTAAAATAAAATAACAATAAAAGTACTAAGATTACTGTAAATCCCCATGAAAATTTATTGAGCAATATTATACGTTCTGATACAAAGCCATTAATACCACAATTTACCATTCATAACTCAATGATTTATTGAAATGATTAATATATATTTTTATCAGAAAAACGAAAAATTATTCTTATTTTATAAAGTCTAAACTTTCAAAAATATTCATAATTTTATATCTGATTTAAAGTTTATTTATAACAATTCTATTTATAAAGAAAAAAAAACAATTAATTCAATCATTATTAAGGATATTTTGAATTAATTCTAATTTTTTTCTTGATAAATTTATTTATTTCTACTGATATATTTTAAATTTTGCTAGTGTTTTTCACTTTTCTATTATTCATTTATTCAAAGAATATTAATATAAATTTTTAAAATGTTAAGCCGAATCATCAAACATTATAAGAATAATTGTTTTTTTTGAGATTATTCAAATTATTTTAATCAAATACTTAAGTATTATTTACAAATTAAAATAGATTCTAAAATGTAAAATAAAATTAATAAACTAATTATGTTAATATTTAAAGATAAAATAATATCTATTTAAAAAAAAATTTTTTTAAAATTAACTTACAAAAGTGATATCTTATCTTTGATTCTCAATTAAACAAAGTAAATTAGATTTTTTTAATGGAAAATGATAAATTTTAATTCATTTTTATTGACTATTATTAAATTGATTCTAGAATGAAATTAAGATAAAAAATTTAATAAAGCATTAATAAATTCGATAATTTAATAATATTAATATTGAATTAAAAAAAAAGAAATAATAATTATTTATAAAAATGTAAAAAATATTGAACAACTTTGAAAAATTGGATATTTTTGGTGTTCCAATCTGTCTACTAACAAATTAAGAAAATGAAAAATTTTAAAGTAAAATTGGAGGAATAGCAACAGTTTTAGTAAGTAGTCTAAGTTTAGTATATTTTTTTTATGTATTTATCCTATGGAATACTAATAAATTAGCTCCAACTATTAGTTCAAAATAAGAAATATTAGACTACGCTGAATTTTCATTAGAAGAGTCTTTAATTGAAATATAATTGTAAGACTTTACTGGAGATGTTGATCCTTTCTAAAAAGAAAACAATATTATTACTCCTCTATTATTTACTTTTTTAAACACAACAATAGAAGATGAACCAATAGCTTTATTTTCTAATTAAAATCTACCATATCGAATTGTATTAACTAACATCACTTTAGTATTAAATTCAATGTTTAATCAAGACAATAATAATTATTAATAGTAAAGATAATATTCTCTTGTTTTTGCAAAATGTTCAAAAGATTATGCTAATTTAGGCATTTAATGTGCAGATGAAAATACAATCAATAATTATTTATCAAAATTTCATGGATTTTTATTTTTAACAATTTACTTAAGTAAATTAAATATACACACAAAAGAGTTTGAATAATTTAAAAAGTAATATTACACAGGTTTTGATACAAATAAACCTTTTTATTCTCAAATTATGTTAAAATAACAAAAAACAATTATTGATGATGGAATTTTATTTAACAATTATGAACATTACAATTTTTTAAATAATTATGAACTTATTAGTTAAGAAACTGATAAAATTTTTGCATAAAATGTCGTTAATTCAGTGTCAAAATTTAATTATCAATTTGAGAGTTATGGTAATTATCTTTTTAGAATTGACAATATTTCAGTTTAAGAAGAAATTGTATATCCTAAATTAGGGCAAGTTTTAGCATAAATAGGTTCAATAATTTAATTAATATTTCTACTTAAACATTTAATTTTATACTATAACAATTAATTATTAGAAAATTTATTATTAGAATCTATTGTTAAAATGTATTACCCAGAAATAAAAGAATTGAAAACTAATTTTATTAATTAAATTTAAAAATATAATGAAAATGATTACAATATGAAAATACCTTGGGAAAGTTTTAAATAAATTCATTAAGTAATGTTATAAGCAGCTCGAAAAAAATGTCGATTAATTAATGTACTTTATGAGATTTCAAGAATATAATTTATATTATAAGAAAAATTCGGTGATTAAATACTATAAAAAAGTCATTATATGGGTGCAAAAATATCGGAAAATAAAGTAGATCAAATGAATCAAAAAAAATCAAATCATTTATAAATCAAACCTTATGATTCTTTTGAAATAGAAAATTAATACACTCATTTAGATGAGCTAGAAGTTTTGATTCAATAAAGATGAAGATTGTTAAATCTATAATATTATTAAAACAGAATAAATATTTTAATATATTAAGATATAATTTTATTTATTAATAAATGAGTTTTGTCTTTTTTTGAGTAATTAGAACTACATAAATTAGGAAATTATTTTTTTAAATAATTCTGATACTATATTTTTCAAAAGTATTATTCTTAATTAGAATGAAATGAATAATAAATAAATTATCTTAATATTCTAATCGTAAAAGATAAGCAAAATATTAAATTAAATTATAATCTATAATAATTAATTTTTATAATTTTTAATATTAGTCTTAAGTCAAGTTTGTTTTATAAAATATGTATATAATTAATAAATTATCCACAAAAAAAAATAATTCTTCATATACAATTATAAATGATTATTTAAAATAAATATCAGTAATTTATTATCAGGTAATATTGTACTAATATTAGTATTGCAATTTTATAATTCTATGAATAGGGTGATATAGAATTTGATGAAAATAAATAAAGATAGTAGAATAGGTTTAGTTGAGTAATACTTTACAAATGATGTCATTTTCTTAAAATCGATCGTTAAGTCAATGCTAATTTAATATTTATAAGAGTTGATGTATTAAAAGTAAAAAAAGGTAGATTTTCAAATAATTTTGATCATAAACTTTAGTCTCTTATCATGTTTTATTTCTCTCTTATAAATTCATTTGTTAAACAATTAAATATCTTTCATTAAGTTAAGTTTTATGAGAGAGTTTGTTTAATTTCTTTATAAATACTTTCACACAAATTTTAAAGATAATTTAATATTCTTTATTTAGTCTAATTTGTTATATGATATGTTTTCCTTAATTATTACCAATTAAATAATTCATATGATTAAATTTATTGTTAATTTCCTATTATCATCCTTTCCTCCTAATATTTAAATTGTAAAGTCTCTTCATTAAAGCTTTACAGATTTAAGTTCAATTCTCCTTTCATAAATAATACTTTAAAGTAAATTTCAAAGTTTTTTTTGATATGGATTATCCCAATTTAATAATCTTTGATATGACAAGTAGCTGTAATATGAATTTTGTTATAATTATTGGCATTTTTAATTATTCTAAATAAAAATATAATTAATAATTTTATATATTCAATTTTATATTAATTATTTTATATATATACATAGATAGTATTTAAAAATAATCATGAATAAATTATTATTGATACAATAGGCTAAGTTTTTGATTATGATTCATTTAAGAGATCAATAAAGAAAGTTTAAACATTTACTATAAATTTTAATATGCCTATCAGTATATCTCTCAGATATTCAATTTTGGATGTTATTTATTTGAACAAAAAATGAATTCAACTAAAATCATCCATCATTCTTTTATGAAATACATTTACTTTATCAGATCTCTAAGATAAATAGAAAACTTATGATAATAGATTTACAGTTTGAGTAAATCAATTTTAGTTTTTAGATAATTTAACATTGAAATGAAATAAAAACATAATTAATTTTTTGTTTTTCTTTATAATCACTAAATTTTTTGTAAATTTTATTGATGAAAACATAGTTTTTAGTTCCACTAAATTCAATTTAAAAGAAAAAGAGTGAACAAAAAATAAATTAATTTTTGAGCATAAGTAAATAATTAGAATTAAAAAACTATTAAATGAAAAAAAGTACAAAAATTATTATAAGACAGATTATAATTTTTATTTAAATGTTCATTATTTATTTTATTTTCATTTTTTACCGTCTTTAAGGTATTTATGAAATTCGATAGGTAAAATAAAAACATCGATATTCAAAATGAAGACCCCTAGTATGTAGTCATCTTTTCCAACTGAATATCTCTAATAATAAAAAATAATAGATTACCTTATATTCAACAATACATTTCATATCATAAATTAGGTAAAATGAATAAGCTAGTATCAAACATAATGAAATGAATATAAACTTAATATCATCTCTGTATAAGTAAATTAAAAATGCACTTTAAATTAAGCCAAAAAAAAAACAGAATAAAAAGCTTTCTCCTATTTTGAAATCCTTTGGATAGAATTGTGTGAATAGATATAATCCTAAAATCATAATACCATTCATAAATAATAAATATTAAATGAAAAGGTCTAATAGATAATATATAATTAATTACTTCCATTATTGATTTTATTACTAATGATACAACAAAATGCTGAGATTACATATCCTTAAGTTAAGGTCACAACAAAAATCCAAATAAATTTATTTATTTATTTTCTTGTCTCGATCTTATTAGAAAATAGATAACAATATAAGACTATGACGAATACAGAAATGAGCACTAAAACCCAAACTTATTTTGCCTCAAATTCTCTTAACATAGGTGTTTTAATTGAATAGTATGCAAATAAATATATAGCGATTTATTGGAGCCAGAAAGTTAAATATACCTATCAATAATAAATCTAAAAAACGAACATTTCTTATGAATGATTATCGACAATTTAATGACATGTCCACAGAATGTGCTTCAGAAATATCATTTTCCTTGGCTTAAGGCTATTCTTATACACTTTCTTAATCTCTTTCCATTCAATAATAATAAAGAATTAAATAATAAATCATTTAGTTAGAAATTATTGACAATAAATATATAGAATTTATATAAATTGATCTATTATAATATTTATTATTATTTCTCTTAATCACTTCAAATAAAGCATTTAAAATAATTATAATACCGGTTCTTTATAATATTTATATATAAATGTTCAAATTTGATATTAATATTATATCTTACTCATTTTATAATCACTACATAAATTTGATTTAGCTTAGATTATATAATAGATATTATAACTTAATCATCTTTCTCCTTTTTTCATTATTAGATATTTATTATTTTAAAATAAATATTAAATTTTCTATTTAGTTTAAAGATTGATTGATTCGTTATCAGAAGATAATTTACTCTTAGCTATTTAAATTATTAATGATATTTTATTTTCATTTTCTACTCAAATTGCAATAATTCTATTAATATAAAAATAAAATCGAAAATGCACTAGAATTTTACAATATATTTAGTATTAAATATTTTGGTTTCCTAATAATCTAATTTAAAACTTAACAATATCATTCAAAATTTTTTCAAAGATTTTAATTATATTCAAAATATATAAATATAAATCATACTTATTTTTAAGATTTAACTTCAGTGTCATTTTTTGCAATAATTTTCTCTAAATGTTTTACAATTTTTGTTCTGACATATGAGTATTTCTTGTTAACCTAAAATTGAACTTTTTGACAGTATTTCATGAATTAACAAACATGATACCCACATGAATAATTATCTATTTATTATCCTGAATACTAACTCAATTGAATTTCCAATAATTAGATCTTTAGTAGTTATTAGAGAGTTTATATAAGATATTTATCATAATTATAGAAACTATTTGGATTTATCAGGGAGTCAAATATCAAGCATTTATTAATATTCAAATCAAAAAGAATAAAATACCAATGATTATTGTATTTATTAATTGGAAACCCTACTTATTGATAGATTTTTTTGATTTCATAATTTATTTCTTAAAATTAAAGTAATTCTTCTTCAAATAAGTCCTTAGCTTTCTAAAATGTGTAATTTTCTCCAAAATTTGTTGTTAGAGCAGTTGTCAAGAGTAATAATTTGTATATTTTTCTTGATTTATCTCTAACCTTTGTAAAATACTCATTTTCACTTTATAGATTTAAATAAAAAACATAACTATCTATTATACTACTTGTTAATCTTCCATTTTACTTTAAAATTTTTACATCTTCTGTTGAAATTTATTAATTATATTTCACCCAATTCTCAATTTATTTTTCTTCATATTGTTTATTTTAATTTTAATGATCTTTATTTATTAAATTTCCATTCTAAACATCATAAATAAATATTTTTCTAATTGGTGCACTCTATGATCCTTAAAAAATTATTTTATTTAGTTCATTTTATTTATACTTTCCATTTTCAAATTCACCTTCATATTTCTTAATCTTTGATTTTCCACAATATTCAACACCAAAACCAATTAAATTAAATTTTTTATTTTCCAAAAAAATTACAAATTTGCCTTATTATATTAGAAATGACGGATTGTTATTTAAATCAAGTTATAAATCATAAAGCTTTCCAATTAATTGAATAATGTTTTTCGATAATTAATAATAAGAGAAACTATTTGATTTATAATAGAATTGTGAATGATTGAATAATAATAAATAATCATAAGAATAATTATCCAATTAATTATCTAATTAAATTGTTTCCATCTAATATTATTCAAACAATTCTTGAAATATTTTTTAATCAGATTCTTAATCCAAATCAATGAATGATTGAGAAGACTAATCTATTTTAATCTATTATTAGAATAAGGGTTTAATTATGAAATAATTATGATCTCTTCTTTGATTGTTTTAACTACTTTCAAAATACTTTTGACTTGAATTTCTAATATTTGAAATAAATATTTACGCTGAAAATTCTTTTATTTCAATTTTTGGGTGTTCATTTAAATCGATTAAATTAATGTTCTCTAAATTAACACTGCCTTGATTACACTAATTTCTATATAGAACTTTATTATTACTAAAAATATTCATAATTTAAGTTATTTTAGAATTTATATCTATATGAAAATATATTAAAATTATTCTATGATATATAAAATATGACAATCATAACTCTATCTAGCCCTAAAATCAATTACAGAACAATTAAATGCTTTAAAAGTAACTTTTTATTAATTTTCTTAACAGTTATTCTTGAAGAATGTTTATTTTTAACAATTTTAATTGTGTATCTGCATTTTTAAATCAATTTCATCTAATTTATATAAATTGAAAAATTGCTCTAGCCTTTTTCATCGAATTTTCACTAAAAACTTGTTTAATTTCATCAATCTTTTGGTTAATAAATTATTTTACCTTCAAATTAGATATAAAATCTCCTGATTTTTGTATTAAATTGACTGTATTTGCCATAATGAAATTCTAAAAATGAAAAAGGTAAATTAGTTAAGCTATAATTGCTAATATGATGGTTTTGAGTCTGATGCTATATTTTTTATATTGTCTAATCATTGTGTAAATTTGCATCTTAGAAATATTGATTTCATGATTTATTTATTTAAAAATACTTGAGTTAGTATTTAGTAAAAACTTTATTTGTTTTTAGAATTAAAATATAATTTTTGAACTTTTTGTCTCTTCTTTTACAATTATTAAAAGGCAATCAAATAATTTAGAAATTTTTGTTCTCTATTTTCTTAAATTTTTATTATTATCATGTTAAATAAATAATAAAATAAGTAACTTACATAATCAATAATATTTATATTTATTCTCGGCTCTATATAATAGCTTTAATTTAAATGAGGTTTTTAAATATTCTTAAAATCTAAATATAGGAATTTTTAAATTTAAAACAAATTTTGAGAAAACTATTGAATATTGCTCGAAATTGATAGGATTAATTATGAAACCATTTTATTATTTATTAAAATAATTATATAAATAAATACGACGATGATCAATTTCAGAATTTTAAGGTTTTTATTGTTTCGACTTTTTCTACCATTGTAGATTATGCCTTATTAGAATAAGAAGGCACTTTGCAACTAAATAATTATTTTTATCTATTTGAATAAAATTTTAGAATTAACTCCTTTCTAAGTAAAGCCGTTGTGAATAATTTAAAAAATTTATCTTTTGCCATACTTTAAACAATTTCCTTCTTCAGTAGTTTATTTAACTTAAATTAAATCTTAAATCAGGTATCATTTAATGAATTTTATCTTAAACCTTTTCAAATTTATATTATTCACATGCTTTTCGTGCTTGATCTATAATAATTTCTTTAACAATCATTCTATAATATTATTTCTGAATTTCTAAATCTTCTTTATTTTGTTATTTACAAATGTTTTTGTTTATAGATTGATCATTAATTTATAAATTTACTTCCATAATCATTTAATTTCTTTGATTATCTTAAGTTCTTATATAAAATTTTGGAAATTCAAGGATAAAAAAAAAATCTTTTCTCAATCTATTTGTTAATTATGGAAGCATAATTTGAAAGTTATTTTAATTTTATTCCCACATATTTTCATAATTCTTATACATTTTAATATTCTAAAATGATTTAGGTTATTTTAATATAACATTAATTTTTCATTCTTTGCAAACAACTGATTTCAAACCTTCAATTGCATCAATAAAAATTGATCTAATAAACTTGTATCTTAAACATAATAAAAGCTTCCATGTTTTAAACTACTTATAGATGTCATTATTTGCGCATAATGACCTTTTCCAAATCCAAATGTAAAAATAGAAAATTCTTCATTTATTCTATTTAACTATTCTTTAATATACATTGTTGCTTTCTCATCTTGACCATCAGATAACAAGAATATAGATGTTACATTATTCCTATACTTTCTACTTTTTATTTATTTAAATATTGTTTCAGTTGCACTGCACTCGAAATATTTGCTCAAAATCACATTTGATTTATTCAATTAGCTAAGTAAAATATTATTTGATCGTTTTTGTTGTTCATTTTTAATGAAGATGATTTTAATGCTTAACTATCAAAAATAATTAGTTGCAAACGATCTTAATCAATTAAAAATTCAAGTAATATATTTAAACTTTATTTCATACTTTGTAATTTATCTCCTTCTATGCTACCAATTTTATCTATCAAAAATATCTAAAATAATTTTTGATAATACCAAATCAAAACCAATCCTATTTTATTTACAGTCATTTTCTTAATCTTTTGTTTTTGAACTTAGATTAATAGATGCCTTAGTACTTTCATAATCTAATATCTTATTATTTTTTATGAATCAACAACATTTTTGTGATTTAAAAATTTTTATTTTCTTATGTTAAATAAATGAATTAGTGTATTAATTTCCTATTATATATAAGAGTTTATTTATCATAGTATAAATTTAATATATACAATATTTTATAAAATAATGTATGAAATAGAATGAAATTTTCATGTAAATATTATATTTCACTCATGTAAACATATTAATTAATAATATCGTCTGTGATTTTATAATTATAATGATACCAAAACCTAAATTAATAAATAGTGGAACATATAATATTAATATAGGCTCGGAGACAATAAAAAAGAGACCAAAAAATAAACAAATAAATTAAGGTAGCAATCAATTTCTTTAAAACGATATTCTTCTAATTATAATTAAGAAACTCTATAGTAAAAATTTGAAAAGAAGAATAATTTTAGTATTGATAATGACTTTTCTAAATATAATATAGTTAATAAAAATAATAAGAATTTTTTTAGTCTAATAACTATTTTACTGAGACAATTAAGCTTGATTCTAAATGTTCTCAAGAATGGTTTAATTTTAGAAGAAATCAAAGTTTAGGAATTAATTAAAATTTATTTATAAATTGTATAGATGATTATAAAAATAGATTTATGATTTATTTATCATTTACTATTATGAATTTCAAAATCATAAAATTATAAATTAAATTTTCTTTGATCAAAAATTTAAGTAAAATATATAACTTTCTAAATATTTTTATGTTAGAAGTTTATATGTATTCTCCAAAGAATAATAATGGTGTATGGTATTGATGATGAGCGTATATTATTTAGCCAAAAATTCAAAGAACCTGTACTAAAGTTTTGCAGTACTAAAAAAAAAAAATCAGAATATACTTTGGGTGTTAGAAATGACTATGATATCAGTTAGTTTACTATGTTCATATTTTTATTTAAGATACCTTATGTTTAATCTTTTTGTAATTTTGCACTACAAAAATCACTCACAAAAAGGTAATGATTTTTTGAAGAAAATCGCACATCTATAAGTTAGGTTTGGTGAAAAACTAATCTTAGCAAATGATTTTTTTCATTATTAGATAAACAAGTCAAAAAATATAGAAAATTTATTTAACATTAATTTTAAGCAAATTAAATCCAAATTTATTAATATCTAGTAACTATACTCTCAGTAAAAATTTGAAAAAGCCAAAAATATCAAAAAAAAAGTTTTAGATGTATTAAACAATTAAAGTATGTATTCGTTAATACACTTAGAAAATTGTACAAGAATCAATAAATTCATCAACGAATTTTAATAATTATTGACTAAATTCTTATAAATTTTTCATAATCCTAAAATTTATATTGAAAATTTTAAATTAAGTATTTATAAATCAAATAATGTAATTTTAAAAATTATATAATCAAAAATATACACTTAATCAATTAAATCATACGATGTGATAAGATTTATTTAGTTTATTTAATAAAATGATATTCATGATAGAAATTAAAAAGTTTAAATATTTAATTAAATAAATGAGTGAATTCGTCTTAATCAAAGAATCTGATAATAATAAATAAGCAATAAGAGAATTAATTCTTCCTTCTTTATTAACAGCAATGAGTTTTATACTAGGATATTTTCCAAATACAATTTCGATATACTTAATTGAATTTAAAGAGTAGGATTCAGTATTAGTAGGAGCATTAGGATTGGGTATTTTAACTACTTAGGCTATTGGTATGGGAATATTGAATGGTATTGCAACTGGTTTAGAAACTTTGGTATCGTAAGCTTATGGAGCAAATTAATTTGAATTGTGTGCAAAACTATATTATCGATCATTATTTGTATGTACATTATTTATGATACCAATATCATTATTTTTATTATTTTCAACGCAATTGATGTCACTTATAAATAGGTATAAATGTCATTCAATTTAGTAATGAATAATTAGTATAATAAGCAGGAGAGTTTAATAAATATATGGTTGCAGCAGTATATTTAGATGCTATTTTTGTGAATACTAAGGTATTTCTCAATGGTTAAAACATTTATAATTATCAATTTTATACATAACTAATCTCATGCATATTTTTTTTTGGAATTAGTTATTTTTTTATTGTGACAGAAGGAATGGGATTGATTGGATGTTCACTAGGTTGGACTTGCTTTGAAATTGTGAATAATATAGTGTTATTTACTTTCATTTTTGTAACTAAATGTTGTGAAAATACATTATTTCGATTTAAAATTATATATTTACATAATACAATTAAATTTTTAAAAGAAGCTATTCCTATTGGATCAATTTTATTATTGGAATGGATAAGTTATGATATATATTTAGTACTTGTTAGTTATTTAAATGAATCACTAATTAGTGCTCATGTTTTGATGGCTAATTTTGCATCATTCATTTATTAATTTAGTTATGGTATTTCTATAGCATCTACGACATTTGTTGGAAATGAAATGGGAAGAAAAAATATTATAATGGCCAAAAAATATGCAAAAGCAACTTTTTTAATTGTTATTATATTTTTAGTAATAACTTTGGGATCTTTCTCTATTTTTGGAAAATAATTGATCGAAAAAGTAAGTCATGAAGAAATTGTTGTTAATGAAATATAGAATTTATTATTTATTCTACTGTTTTTCATTTTGATAGATGGTAACAAAATCAAACTTAATATCTTAGGATTATAAGCTATTATTTCTGGATTGGTAAGAGCTGTTGGTAGAGAATCCAGTGCTTCTATAACATTTGTATTTTGCTATCTTGTTTTAGGTGAAGTTGTGGGATATTTATTATGTTATACTTTAGATTTATAACTAAAAGGAATTTGGATTGGAATGACAGTAGGAGCTTTGACTTATGATATTATTCAATTTATTAATTTAATTTGGAAAAACTGGAATGAATAAGCTGAACTTATAGAAAAAAAAATTTTAGCATTGCATTAATTATAGATCCAATTGTTATAGAGTGAGGAATAAATGTGATAACTTTTATTGATATTTTAAATATCTTCAATCAAATTTTAATTCAATAACCATTTTATACTCTTTTCTCGATTTAAATATAAAATACTTATAATTCATCAAATAATGTTAAATTATTGATGTATTTATGACTATTAGTATATTAATTTAATCTGAATAACATTAATTATTACAAATTAATATTTCAATTTTTTAAAACGTTTTATAAAATATTATTAATTTTCAATCAACCATATTTATAAGAAATTGATTTCTTCACAAATTATACTCATTTTGACTTAAAAAATTAATTCCGATAATTATTTGCTTGCAATTATGAGTTTTTACTAAAAAAATAAGCGAACTATATGTTTTCTTTTTTAATTTTCCTAATTATTCAAATATTCTAAAGTTTTCATCCAAAAACTAGATATAAAATGAATATTAAAAAAAAAGTATTTTTTGAAAAAAAAAAAAAAGAAAAGATTATTAATTTCAACATGTTTTTACAAAAATTCTTTGCTAAAATGGCTGGCCATATTTCAAGGTTAGATTTTTATAATTAAAAATTTTAAATTTTCCAAAAAAATAAATTAGATTGATTAAAAGTCTATCAATTAAATAACTTAATCGAAATCATCCCCTGTTTTTATATTAAAAAGGCTAAATTTCATATTAAATTATTATTTATGACATTATCTATAAAGGAGAATATTTTATTTATGAAATATCAAATTTTATTTTTTATTTTTTTAAAATGCCAAAAATAATATTCTTTTCTTAATATTTTGTCTTTCCAATTCATAGAAGACCTCAATTAAGTTTGTGATTGCAAAGTCTATAATTAGGATCAATGCTCCAGATCATGCATTTGGTAAAATTATTGTTTTTACTACAAAAATTGTAATGAAATAGTAGATATATAAACTATTTTCAAGCCTGATTACAGTTGCTCATATTTTATATCTTTTTTGGTCAACTTAAATTTAGATGATTTCAAATATAAAAATATACTAAATTTACTTGTGGATAGATTGAATCTAAATGTCAAACAAAATTATACATGCTAGGAATTAGAAGAAGAAGAAAATCTTAATTACTGTATTAAGAGTTAAGATTTAAGTGAAATAAATAAAATAAATGCACTTTGATTTCTTAATTTTCTGATTATAATTAATTTTATCCTCAAGGATGCAGAAATTTTAGGGCCGATGTCGATTGTTAACCATACTAAATTAATGATTTAATAATGATAACTTGACAAAATATTAATAAAAAAATATTTTGTATTATTCTGAGTACGAGCTTTATTTTCGATTTTTTAGTTATTTTATATCTATTAAAAATAAATTCCTATCATTTATACATAATTTCTTACTTTCATTAAATTTCCTTAATGATATTCAATTTGTCTTATCTTCTCAATTTTATGCCTAATAAGAAGAAGGTCTCATCTTGAAAATATTGCAAAAAAATTTAACAAGATTAACATGAAATATATAAACCTAAACATTTTAAGATTTATACCTCATAAATTCTCAATTACGGAGTCCAATAAAATATTAACTATTAATAGAAAAGTAAAAACAGAACTTTAACCTATTCTACACTCATTGTATGAATAGTTGGAATGATTTTTAATTATCTCAAACTTATGATTATGTTTTGATTTTGAAATAATAAATTTTTTAAATGTTTATATCAGCTAATTTACATGTAATAATTACTCGAATTAATAAAAAATAAATTATTTAATAAACATTAATATCCTACTAATAATTAATTTAGAAATTTATCTATCTACCATCAATATAAGACCATACAATTAATTCTTAGTCATTATTTACAATTAAAATATTTTGCCTATTATGTTTATTAAAAATGACATTAATTTTATTTTCTTCTTAGCAAATGTGAAAAATTTTTGATTTCATTTTTCTAATCTATTATACTTTTTTATTCAGATCTAATTTACTTTAATAATACAAAATAATTTTAATCAAATATGATATACATTAAGTTTATATTTAATAAGATATGTCTTGATCTAAATAATTCCCTCTAAATATGAATATGATAATGTTCAATATACTTACAATAAATTAATGATTTAAATCTAAAAAGAAGAATAATAATTACCGATATTATTTCCTTTTTTTTGGAAAAAGAGATAAATATAAACTTAAATATATTTATAAAGAAAAACTATAAGAACTTCATATTCAATTTTTTCAAGAAGTCAGTCATATTATAATTAATTCTCAAAATTGCTTATTATGTATTATATATTTTCAAAAAAGCTAACACCACAGAGATTTGCTCTTTTTTTTTTTAAAGTGACTTTAAATGGAAAATTTTCAATTATTTATTTCATTATTAAATATAAAATAAATTTTTTAATCAAAAGTAAAAGGAAAAGAAGAAGATTTGTTAAGCAAACAACACCAACAGCAAATTAAATTTGTCATTCTTGAATCTTAATTCTCAAGAGATCAAAGGCTTTTATGCAAGCCAAGAATACAAGTTTGATTGGTGGAAATTTTGTAAGTTGTAAGTTTAGCGGATCTTTAGCAGTTAGGAAAAGGCAATTAGATTATGGAATATTTAGACAGGAAAATAAGATATCAAATTAGATGTTCATACTAGTTATGTCTCATCAGTATGCTTCTTACCAGATTGAACTATTAAAGCAATTGATAGTTATGATAAGTCTATAAGATTATGGGATGTTAAGACTGGGTAGACCAGATGCTAAAATAGTTCCATCTGGTAAAAAGCTTACTGACCAGACAGTTACATGATCATCTAATTTATTAAGTTTGTGATTTTTTTTTCCAAGATTTAAACGTTAAACTTTATTAATGACTCAATCTCCTTTATTTAATTGTTCTATTTTTCAACCAAACCTAAATGTATTTATCACATCTTTTCTGAGCCTCCTATAATAATATCATTTAAGATTTCTCTAATCATTCTAATCTTCTAAAGTTCTTTCATCTCAATTCGAAACTTATTGTTTAATACCATTGACTATATTCATATATGGTTAGTTTTCATTTTCAATTTGATGGATTATTATAGATTTGATTGATTTGATTAATTCTTCCAAAATTTTCTTCTAAATGTATTTCATAATATTTTTAAAAAATTCATGAATGTTTATTATTTTAGTAAGTAGGTTTTTCTAAGGAATCACTTTTACAAATTTTGTGGGAAAAGAAAATTTTAGAAAAAATAAAAAACATCAAAAATAAGTCATTTTGCACTTTTGGCATTTCCCTATCCCTTTAGGGGTTTGGTAAATTAAAGCTAATAAAGAATTAAATAATAATTAAGGATAATAATGAAATTTTTTTTTTTTAAAATATGAAGACTATATCTAAAATATTATATTTAGAAGGTTTACAGTAAGTCATTTAAAAACCTTTAATATATATTAATATAAATGATATTTTTATCCATATACAATTTAAAACTTAAAATTATAAATTAAAGTAAAAATTAAAATTTTAGGATATGATATTATTAAACTATCTAAACATCTTATATGAAATTTTTCAATAAAAATATGTTTTTTGAAAATAAAAAATAATTTTGGAAAAAGTCATCACCAACATCTTTAAAAGGTTAGAATAATCTAATAAATACATAATCCATATATAATGAACTTTCCCCTTGAAAATTATATGACATAAAAATTATGATTTCCTATGTAAATATGTATTTCTTAAAAAAATATCTTAAGTAAATAGATAGAAGAATGAAATCAATCAAATTTTCCTTTCATTACCCGATAATATATATAGGATGTCACTCTTGAAATATTTAGATTAACTACAGTTTTTGGAAACCAGAATTTAAAATAGAGAAAACGATTGTAAAATAATGTGATTTCTAAACAGGAAAACATTTTTTATAAATCGTTATGTTTTTTTATAATTAGAAAAATAAAATGAAACTTAAACACTTTAATTTTAAGATAATAATTATTAAGAAAGTTAAATAATTAAGTATAGATATAGAAAAATGTAAAATATTTATTATTACTTGTAATGTTCCTTAAAGGCTAGAAGTATATAATTATGCTCATTAAGTAGATCTCTTTCACTAGAATTGATATGAATAGATTTTAATATTAATAATCTGAAGCTTCATGTAACTTAATATTTAAGGTAACTTATTTAGATCTTAGGTTTTTATCTATAAAATATTAATCAGATAATTAATGTGCGGGTAGATTTTTATAGAAGTTCGTTAGACAATACTAATAGCCTTAGAATTTCGTCTTTCAGATTTGGAATTGATAATTAATTTAAAAGTTTTAGTCTAAATGCTTTTTAATTTCATCCAAAAAATTATAATGGATGGGTATATTATGAAAATATTTCACACTTTCTAATTTTGAATATACTAAAATTATTGCTAATACAATAAGGCCTATTGTACAGAATCGAATTATGGTTCTTTGACAATAGATTTTTCTAGGGATAATTGATTTTAAAATAATTACTAAAATTAGATTATTTTATAGTACTAAGTCATCTCATTTTTTTGAAATTTATCGAAATCATTTAATTTTTAACCAAAAAGTTCAAATATTCATTCATAAATTAACAAAACTTTCTTAATGTTTAAAATCATTAACTATTTAACTAACAATTCATTTTCTTCGCTTATTTTTTCTTGGGATGAATTGAATTTTAGATTAGGAAATTTTGACATTCTTAATAAGTTATAAAATATATTATTAAATGTTTAATGTTTAATATAGATAATAATCATATTCAGTTCTTGGTTTTCTTCCTTTTTTTTAAAAAAAAATCCCATAATATTTAATTGTCTCTCTAATTTTTTTTGATAGATACTTCATTTCATCATTTTTATGTTTTGCTGTATTTTCATTAAATTTTTTATCTGAATTTACCCATTCATTTATCTCATCTAATTTTTTACCCTAATGATTCCAATATTCTAGATGTTCGATTAGCTATTCTCTTGTAAAGAATTCTTTTTTATGTTCTTTACACATTACATTTGAAAATCTCTATCGATCAAAATAACCTCTATTAGGTATTTTCCTTATTTTATTAGTATTCATTTCTTTATATTGATCTCTTCCCATTAAATTCAATATTTTAATGTGTCTTTCTTTGTAATTTTTCATTTTTTCTTATACTTAATTCCATTTTTTCATTTTCCATTTTTATAATTCTTCAAGATAGTATTATTGGGGTATTTAATTCCATCCATGTGTATATACATAGTCTGAAGTCCTAAATTTTTCTAATTCTTATAAGTCTGTAAATCCAAATTATTATTTATTATGCAATGTAGATAAATATTACATACTATAATCTTTCCATATTATTCTTTTTAACATTTATATCCCATTCTCTTTACAAGTATTCTCCTTAATTACCATAAAATGGTAATTATCCAAATAGTTCTTCCATTATATTAAAAATTTCTATTGTATAGCATATTATTCTTAATGATTTTCTCCATAAAATATCATATTTTTTTATAATTGACTTACTTTACATCCATAATATAGGTGATATATAATCGAAATATGGTTTGACGAATACGTTCCATAATTTCATAATTTGTCTAAAAGGTAGTAATTTATCCAATATTCTAAGTCTCCAGCATATCTTTAATATATCCATTTGTTTTCATGTAGTGTTTAATTACTAATCCATTATTATTAAGCCATATACCTAGGTATTTATATTTATCAACTTTTTAACATCCTATTTATTCCATTTCAGAATCTATTTTGTTTGCCATATATGCACATTTGTTTATATTCAACTTCATATTATATTATTTTAATACTTATTATAAGGTTTTTATTAAGTATATTGATGTCTCCATTTGTTAAAATTACTATGTCATCTGCATATGTTAATGTTCTTGTCTATTAGTTTAATTAATGGTTCCAAATAAAAAGAAAATCTTCCACTAAAAATATTTGTATTATTAATGAGTCTGTAGTTTCTAAATCTTCTTTTCTCTTATATATCATTGTTTTTGATATTGTTATCGTTTAGAGTTTATCATTTCTTGTCTTAGTTATCCATTTATAACCTAATCCTTCTAATTTACATCAAACCCCCGGAGATCAAATAGAATGGAGTATTCTTTTTATTTAGATAGCATCTAGGAGAACCATTGAAATATAGAGTATTTGATTTTAAATAATCTTTAGTTTAATGAATTTTAAAATGAATTTTCCTTATACATTCCATTTTAATAGCATCTAATTATAAGTTTTAATTTATTTATACCCAATAATACAAAATTAGATCTCATTTTTCCATGAGCTTTAATATTGCCATCGTTAGCAGCAGGAATCATTTAGACATCTCTCGCTTAAAGAGCATATTTCAATTTTTGTTGTAATACAATGAGATTAATTCTCTCAATTTATTAGGTTCTTATGAAGGTCTTGTGGTCCAATTTTCTCCTAATTTTGAAAGCATTAAAACTTTTTGGTGCTAAAAAAAGAGAGACAAAAAATTAAAACCTTTTTTAGTTTAATTCAGAATGTATCTATTCTTAATATCAAAATTAGTTTTAATGATAAAATTAATTCAAAATATAATGAAAAAAATAATTTTATATTAAAAATACCAATATTTTATTGTGTGTATTATTACTTTAAATAATATACCAAACATAAAGAATCTTCATAATCATCCTACAACTCTTCATTGTCACTTACCTTAAATAACCTATATTATAATTCATAAGCTTATTTTAAGAGCACCTATACTCCATCTTCTTAAGTTTTTAGATAATCAATCTGATATCTTACACTTTACCAAATTTACATAAATTTAAAGTTTATAATTACGGCCAAATTTCTATATTTTCAAGTTTCAACTTACAATATAAACTGTTTATCTTAATCTTTTTAATTTAATCTTGCTAAAAATTAATCTCCTCACATTAACAATTAAACTTAACTAGTATTCTAAACTTAAACAATACTAACTTTATTAATATAAATATGTAATTACTTGCAATACCAGCATAAGTTAGCAAAGATTTTACCAATCTTGAAGTGTTTCTCTGTTTCATCTGATGTTTTAACTATAACCTTAAATATTTCTTATTCAGCTCTCACTTCTTCTTCTTTAGCAGCTTTCTTTATTTTATCTTTAACACATATTTCTAAATAATTCAAGCAAAGATCTTCAGAAAATAGATATTTCTCTGCTTAATCATTTTGTTCTCTCTTCATCATTTGATAATTTCTTACTGTCTTTTCATCTTCAAACATATCAAATGTTATATTTTTTATTTGTAATGCTAAATATGGTATTAAATATTTATCATCCTAAACAGATCTTCATATAACTTCTTCTTCTCTTATTGAAATCTTTCTCTCATAATTTAATCTGACTTTATCAAATTCTTTGTTATATATATTTAAATTGCTTTTCTATCAATCAATAATATTGCACTTTTTCAATATTTTACTTTTAAGTTTCATAAATATTTACCCAATCTATTTCCTCTTCATCTTGAGTTGCTTTTAACATATATTATGATTGATCCTTCAACTATTTTGAAGATATTTAAATTAATTTAAATTTATCAATTTAAACTCTGATTATTTAAAATAAATCTACTATTGAATTATATTCTTAAAGTTTTTTAATTTATTATTTTCACAATCAATTCCTATTTAAATTAATCTAATCCAGTACTTAGACATTTATCTTATCTTAAATCATAAATATATTTTTTTCTAACCTTGTTAATGGTTAAATTGTTAATTTTCATCTTATTATTTTATTACTTCAGCTGATAACGATATAGTTTTCAATTTTTACATATTCTATTTATAAAATAGTTGTGAATCCTATTTGCTTGTAATCATTAATTATTATTTATTCAACAAACAAAATCTAATACTTTGCATCAAATACTCTTTTCTTTAAATCTACTTCGAATTTTTTATATTTAATACCATCTAACACTTTTTAATAAATCTCAACTTATAATTAATATAATCTTCCATTATTCTAAACTGTTCTAGACTTAAGATTATTAATCAATAAATTCTTAATTATATTTAATTAGTTTATTTATTTCTATTATAATTGATGAATTTTATTAATTTATTAAGAATAGCACTTCCCAACTACCTCTTTATTTTATAAAAATTACTCTCAATTAAATAGACGCGGTTAATTTTAGTTATTCAGCATTTAAAAATGCATCCAAAATATAATGTAAATTATTTTAAGTAAAAAGCATTCGTATATTATTTTTGAAATTTAATTAATTGTTGATTTGCATAATTTTTTTTTGAATTGATTTGATCAATCAACTTTACAAATTATCATTTTCACTAATCTAACTGTTTTCATTTTAATACATTATTCTAAACATAAACATTCGGTGCATTAGCCTTAATCAAATCCATTTTATATAATGATTCATATTCTTTGCTTTAGGATTCTTGTTTACTTTATCATTCAAATAATTATACTCTTTTTTTTTAAGTTGCAAACAAAGGTTTAATTTATTTATGTATTTATTACTATTAAGTACTATTAAGCAACAAAGAACTCATTTTTTGTTTTATATTTTTGAAGATATTATCTGATTTATTATGTGCAATAACCAACGACTGAGAGATCTTAATGTTACTATACAAATTTTGAGTTTACGAATGCAAAAGACTTCTTAAAGTTATTAATAGCACCAAAGAGAATTTCGACTTTTCGTCATAGCTTCTTTTATTTCTTATGCATTTTACCCTTAATGATAGAATAATATGCCTAAGCTATATAATTGGTAAAAATATTCATAATGCCATTAATTTGATTATATGAATGTGTTATAGAAAGATTTATAAATGACTTACAGACTCAAGAGAATATTATTTTTGTTTTGGATAGAATTTTATCCAATAGAATCAGATATTTATCAACAATTTCTCTAACTATTTGCAAGCTGGAAAATTTCCCTTAAGGCACTCTAACTGATTAAAATTAACCAATTTTTTCGATTTTCATTCTAATTTATCAAAACTTTACATAAATTTGTTAGAGGGAAATAAGATACTTTGATTAATTTGGAAATAAAACCAAAGTTCCTCTTAATTTATATAATAATTAATTTTTATTTAGATGAAGGATAAATATAAGATAGAATAACAATTTACAGTATATTTAACTCTGAAATTCACAGAATAATACTATTTTATAATGAATTGGGAACTGCCAGTGTCAATCAGCTAACATATAAATGACAAAAGAAGTTTCGCCTCTAGAATTCAAATAAGAGAAGATTACTAGTTTTGAGGACTTTAAGTAATCTTATATAAAATAAGGTAAATGGTATTTGAAAACAATCTTTAGATGGATTATTATATTAAGGACACTAGAGAGAAGAGACAAAGCTAATGGCAAAGGAAGAATGATTTATATTGATGTATATTATTTAAATTAGTTTAATGTTATTTTTTAGATCATGAAACAGAAAATATGTGCATAGTGATGGCTTTATATAATAAATAAATGAATTTATTTGTATATTGAAATAATGTAAATTTACTAAAAAGGGATAGCTGCAGATAAAGTATAAGAAATAATAACAGCAAAACATTCGAGAGAGGTTAGTAAAGAGTTTGGGTAACTCTTATCATGAGTAATACAAGACAGCTCATCAATAGCCTGCAGTTTAAACCGTAGAGTCAATTTTAAATTGAGTACTTATTTTTCAATTACTTTTCCTCTAGTTAATGATTTTAAGACTTATAATTAGTTAATTTAGTTGCCTCATCATCTGAACTTAGCTTCTTTTAAAACATCCTCAATTTTGTAGAAGGTAAGATTAATTAGGTTAAAAATTATTCTGATTTATGGAAAGTTTCATATTCTGATTAACTCTAATCTAATCTATCACCTTAGCCATCTGCTTCTCTCTTTAGTTTGTTCTTTTGAAATTCATATCCATTATTTAACACAGAATTTTTAGCAATTTTTGCCTATTTTTATACTTTTATTTTTCATTTTGAATGACTACATTACAGGAGGATTGAGCAATTCTTCCTGCAAGGTCAGTTGAGAAGTTTGCCCAACTATTAGACTCATTTTAAGGAACTTTTTGAACTCTGTGTACTCCAGATTCAAATTTCAGCTTATAAAGAACACCAAAATCTTTAATAAGAGCTGTTAGTAACTTTATATCCATTAGCACTAGATAAAATCTCAAATTTCCAAATTTTAATTTGTGCATACAATTTATACATTTCAAATAATTTAGTATCATTTAGAGTAGCTTCCTCTTCATCCATTCTATCTCTAACCTCAAATATCTTGTTGTTTAATGAAATTATGTAGTATTCTGTTGAGTATTAAGTATGAGTATTAACTTGCAAAAAAATTTTTGATTAAAGTGATGATTTTGATTTGATGAATAAAAAAAGTGATACTTTATGAAAGTCATTGAAAATATAAAAATAAGCCATCAATGTTTAGTTAATGGATAATTAGAAGCAACCATTTATTCAATAATATTTAAAAATATTATCAAAGATCACGATTTTATTATAGCTCATCAAGTTAAGAATAAATCTGATACGGAAATTATTTTTCATTTGATTGCAGAGGAGTATTAGTATAAGGCTTAATATTTATGCAATATTTAAAAAAACAAAATATTTATATTTTGAACAATAATAACTCAAATAATATTAGTAAATCTATTTTTTTCAAGACTCCAAAAGTATTTATAAGAAATTCTTAAATAAACATTCTAACAAATAACATTATAGTATTCCTTTACAAACTATATTTGTTGAGTTCTAAAATAAAAATAAATAAGTTTAGAAAAGAATTGAAAAAAGATAGTGTTTCGATTATAATCTTAAAGAAATATTAGAATAAAATAAACATATATAATAACTTATGCATCAATCATTATAAAATCACATAGGCCTCAGTGATATATTAGATAAATAAGATTAAAATTTTCTACTTATTTAAAAGCAGAATTTTTATAGAAATTAAAAAATTTTATATATTTCTATAAAATTGGAAAACCTTAATGAAAACAATCATGGCTCATTTATCTTAAGAACGATTAATGGTGATGAAAAAGATCAGTAATAATAGATGATCGTTAGGTATGTGAACATATAGTAATGGAAAATAATCCAAATTCTATAATAAGATGATAAAGATACAGAGGAATGATAAGATAAAATTAAATTATTTTGACTTGAGAGTTTGTATATTATTGGAAAATTCATATACTTCTTTTCTATCATAGAGGCTGATTCGATATTTTTATTATTAAAACCTAACCATATTGTTGAATCAATCCTTTCATCTAATATTTATGATTTCTACTAAGATGCAATTATTTACCCAAAAAACCTACCAAATATGAGGTGGGTTAATAGCTTTCATCAAAAATAATAGCATAATAAAGAAGTGGAATATAATAAGGCTTTTTATATATTTTTGGTTTTAATAAATTATTAATGTTCTACACTACTTTTTTAGAACTAATCGAATATGAATTTATCATTGTAAAGATATCATTCTAATAGGTCAAAATTATATCGAAATTAAAGAAATAATGAAAAATAGTTTTTTTTTGGTGAATTTATTTAATCAATTATAATTTCATTATTTTACTCGCCACTTATTTATCACTATAGCGAAAGTTACTAATTTATCAGTAATGCTAGGTTGATGTTCAAAATTTGAAATTTCAATTGATTACTCAACTAATAGAAATAGAATCACTTAAAATTATTATAGCTTTATAAAAAAACAAAAATAACAATACAGCAGTAAATTTATTTATTTTTAAATGTGCTATCAAATTTAAAAATAAATCAATCGATTCGAAATACATAAATTATCAATTTATGTGACTATAATTATCATAATATAATTAAAAAGCCATTATTAATAAAATAATTAAAATTATATACAGATTAAATTTTGATTGAATTAATGAATATAAATTTTAATCGTTATATAAACAATACTTGACTGTTTGAAAAATCAATATAAATTCAGTATATTTTAATCTTATAAAAATAAATAAACATTAATATAAAATTTATATTAAATATTTATGGCTTCAATCTCTCTATATAATTATTCCCATTTTAATACTTAAGATTTTCATTCGACATATGGACTAAAGAATGAGAGCCAATGACTTTAATTTCTAAATTATGTTGACTATAAATTAAACAATTATAGGCATGAGGAATTTTAATTGATGAAGATACAAAAAAATAATTGGCTAACTTAAATTCATAAACACGACTCTAAAAAGAACAGGACTTTCTATATTTAAATTTTCCATCAAAACATATTTTTTATCTTGATAATAATTTTGATTTATGATGAATTTCTTCAATATTGGAAACAATCTAAAACCTGCAAATAATCTCCACTTATTCAATAATTCACTATAGCAAAGTTTCCTTTATATCTAATTCATTGTTACTAATAAATTCTTGAAAATTGTATTTTTTCTAAATTAAATCAAAATAAATGTAGTTAAATATATTGACCTTATTATTACACTTAAACATTTATACATATAATAAATAATAAATAATTAATAAATATTCGATAGATAATTTGTTTGCATAAGTATTTTCATTTAGTGTTAAATTTAAACACTAGAATAAAATGATCATTAAGCTTTTAATAGAACTCATGTAAAATCTCAAATAATATATTTAACTTCATTGATAAGTATAAAATTCTTTCTCAAAACTTCTTCATTAATAATACTTCTAGAATCTTTAATCTCTTTCGCCTATAATTATAAAAATAAAGCTGATTTTAAGTTAAATAGGGATTTGAATACTAGAGATAAATTATATTATGAATATTAACAAATATTATTGGAAATCATTTAACTAAATTAAGTAGATAAGTACCTCAAACCCCAATTTGATCAAAACACTGAGCTAGATTTCCTTGTAAACTAACGTCTTTACAAATAGCTTTACAGAAAAAGATAAACAATGATTAATAGGAAGTAACATGAAATAATCATTATATTTGCATCATATGTGAAAAAGACAGCCCATTATATGATTGATTAGTATCAATAGTTGAGAAGATTAAAATATTACTCAAGAAATTGAAACACTTTAATAAAATTAAGTAATTGTATTGATAATACCAAAACAAACAAATTGCATTACCAAAATATGATATATTCATCACTAAGGATTTTGCTTTACTTTTGGAAATAGTATTTCTAGATAAACTATATGATAAATTTAGGAATCATTAATATTTCTTATTTAAACTAATGTATACCCAAAATCAATAATTTTCACTTTTCTAGGCAAAAATGATAAATTTTCAGATTTGAGTTATTGTAGTTTTCAAGAATTTTCTTTATGATTCAAATTGATGATAATTAAATTTTAATATCTTTCAAATTTCTACCTAAATTCTTGGAAACTAGTATGGATTTTTTCTTTTGAAGAGGGTAATAATTTTCTTATTGAGGAAAATATTGTCTTTATTATTTTATTAAATTTTTGTAGCATCAATCAATCAATAGACGGAATTACATATACATTTGCATAACACAATCGTAATATTTATAGATCATTCATAACTGGCGAAAAAAGACTTTGAATGTTTAATAAAAATTTTAGTGACTTGTGGCATTTTCTGAATTTCTTAAATAGGCTATTAAAGCAATTCAACAAATTTTATTAATTCACCTTCATTTGAACATTAGATTGCACGTATGATATTAATTAATTAGCAATTTTCAAAAATTTATAGAATGTGTTCTATTAAATGGTCAAAAGCGTTGATTTATTAAATAGAATAAAATTATTCTGATTGCCAAATATTTTACAGCTGAATCAAAAGAGAGATAGTTTATTAGATAATATGAAATACTTGATGAATTAAATCTTTAATGCAATAATGTTTAATGGTTATTAGATAGATTATCAATTCTTTTTTTGGTAAGTCTCATATTTGTTTGCTCATGATATAATTAGCCATTATCTAATTTTATATCTAATTGAAGGCACTATTCTTTATCACTCCTCATTCTTCATATTTAAATTTATACTTAACTTTCACTAAATTTGACATTTCCAAACATAGTTTTAAGATCCAACTATCAAAAATAAAGGTAAATTAATCAAATGAGGTTATCTTCTTAATCCCTCCTCCATCCACATTTTTAAAAGTTTACTTGAAAATATACTTAAAATATTTTGATACTAAATTTACATTTTATAATTCAACATGCAAAATTAACCCAGAAACACGAATGATGAATATTCAAAATTGATGAAATTTTACTAAATAATTTAATATAAATTCATTCTTGTTTCTTTGGAAGATTTCATAATTATTAAGTACATGATAAGCATATTAAAAATCACCATTTTATTTAAGTTTAGTTTTACTGCAATGACTGCATTCATTAATACACTTAAGAAAACGATGAAATATAACAAATTTAGCAATAACTTTCTTATGAAATAATTATGTTACACAGTTAGAAGTCATTATAACTTAATCTTCTGTATTTTAATCTTCATCATTCATTTGTTAATAAACAATAGTTTAATAAAAAGAAAATTTCTGCACATTTTATTGAGTTATTTTTCAACGTTGCTTTTTTTACTATTACTTTAAGAGGGATATATAAATTTCTCCATTTACACTTATTCTTAGGGGTGTTAATAGTTGATTTAAACTACTTCTTGGCTAATATTAGAAAAGGAATATATTTATTAATTTAAATATATATAAGACCAAATAATCTCATGAATCAGAATAATTTTATTAATCCACGACTTATCACATGTAAGTATCATAATCATAAACATCTTTATATTATATATTTTGTTAAATGAATTTTCTGTTATTATTTCAGTAGACTCTTATTGATGTTAAATTTTTTATTATAAAATTACTTAGAACATTAATCTGTAGTGCTACCAGAATAAAATAAGTCCTACTTTCTTATACCCTTCTCAATGAAAGGGAACTCTCGAATATGATTAAATTTATAAAAAATGCGACTTTTGGAAAACAATTAGACTATTTTTTGTTGAGCTCGATAAATTAAATTTGGGGTCTAAAACTTAGTTTGATGCTAATTTATCTATAAAGAGATTTTCCTTTCCATTATTTCATAGTATTTATATGGTATTTTTTAATATCTTAAAGAAAATATAGGATTAATTGATATCATAATTGTAGACTGGAATACAGAAAATATAAAATTTTATTAATGCTTACTGTAGAGTTCTGAAATCCATTAAGTAGAGAACTAGAAATGAATTTAAAATCGAACCTTACTGAAAATTATAATAGTCTAATTTGTATATAAAATAGAGTTTAGATGAAAAATAAAGATGAAAATTAATGCCTTTTTAATAAAATTTTACCAACAAATTAACAGATTTTATAATTCTCATTGATTGGGCAAATGTTATTCTAATATGCAATATTTTAAAATCAGCCAATAGTAAAAGGAGGCTAAAGGCTTCGTTTTAATCTCAAACAGAAAAAAATTATATTATTCATTAAAAATAAAAAAATAATCAAATAACTTTTTAAATTATCTCTATGATCTTTTCCTATTTCATTTCATTGTTATAAAATATTTATATTAATTCATAATTTGTATTATTTCTTTTAATTAAAACTTCTTCAGAGGTAATCATTAATTTTTTTAATTTTATATTTAGGACTATTCCTTATATTTTGTTTCGTTCACATACGTATTTTGAATTTATGGTAATTTTATTCTTGCAAGAATGGCACAAGACATATCTGATTTGAATTAAATAATTTTGATTGCACGATATAGATATATTTAGATTTAAAAAAGTTTCAATTTTCTTTAAAATAATAGATTAATTAAACACCTATGGTTAAAAGTTTACAGGATAAAATACTTGCTGTATTGAAAAATATATAACTTTGAAAGGATTTTATACTAAAATATATATTATTCTTACATCTATTGCAATAATTATTTTCAACAACCCATTCATCTATGCAAAGTAAACAAATATCTTGATTAACACATTTTTAACAATTTTTAGGACATTTAAAGATTAATAAATTGAATGAGAGAATCCCCCAAAATGGTCTTGCTCCTTCCAAACTCTTAGGTTTGATGGTTATACTCATTTCTTCTTTGGCATGGTTCATTGCATATTCTAAATTGTTGAAGCTTTCTTGAGGATTTTTGGAACATATAGAAAATTGAGATTTCGTACTTAATTAAAAATTTACAATCTCTCCATCGAAATCAAAATCAAAAGAATTATTAAGACTTTCTATATCTATGAGGATAAATTGAATCTAAATTCTAATTTAATAGTGGGGCGATACACTAAATTTAGAATTTATAACACTAAATTTATCTAAGATTTCATATCCTCCTATTATATTTATTCCTTATACGCATTAAGTTGATGAAATTGGTATCGATTAAAGATTTTACCACTTATTATTTTTAAAATGGTCAGCTTAATCCTGAGTATAACATTCGTTAGCATCTTCATGACAAATTATACAGGAATTTGGGCACTTTTATATAAATATTAAAAAATTTCTTATCCCCCATGATTCCTAAAAGCTTACTTAAGACTTACATTATAACCATTTTCATCTAGAGTATCACGCATAACAAAATTTAAGATTTCTGAATTATGTAAGAAGGTATAATCAAATTCAACAATGAAATCGTTAAATTGGTTTCCACAGATCTGAGAGCCTTCACCAATATATTTTTATTAGTAAACAATTTCATCACTAATTATTTATATGAATTCTCCATCCCAACTATCTAATCTTAGATAAAATGTAAGAATACTTCCAAAAATCAAGCTTTATTTTAATTTTAAAATGAGGGGGAAGAATAAATTGTTTTGAGACTATTGTTTTTGATCCAAATATCCCATACCCTCCAAACATTTTCTTATCTTCGCAACTATAGATTAAATTTTAGATTCCTGTGTTTTAACTCCAAACTAATTTAAATAAAAAAAATACATTCAATTTCACTCATATTATTATCATTAAAGGCATTATAATACTTTTCCCATTCTACTTGTGAGTTCAATAGAATAAAGTGAAAATTTAGTGTAAAGAAAATGTAAAACTTTACTTAAATCATATAGCTTTATTAAAATATTTATTAATTCACAGTTTTGAATAAGACCTAAAAGGGGTTGGCCCATTAGTAGGTTTAATTCAGCAGTCACATTATGTTGAATTCTCTACACAGGGTTTGGG